AAACGAGGTTCGGTACTCAGCAAGATACAAGCCTGCTGCCTAACAGGCGCGGCGGGTGCTTTAGTTTCTTGTCTGGGCGACCAAGTTTCTGAGCAAGGAGCCCAAATGGGCGAATAAAAATCTTTCTGAACACGGGTAAATTTAATAGAACAAAGCAGTGAATTTTTAAGCTCCAATGACCAACGAAATTCGTCGGATAGTCGCCCTTGTTGCACCAGCTACTGTCCCAGTTTGGTAAAATAATGGCCAATTCACGGATCAAGCGAAACCCTTCCAGACCCTGAAGAAAAACTGCCCGATTCACGTTCACCTAGCCTGCGTCGTGTAAAACGTTTTTCGAGTATTTATATGATACAGTAACTAGAAATAAAGATGGTGTCATCGGATGAGGTAAAAACTGATAAACGAATAAGCACCCCCTTCCAATAAGCGCCCTAGTTCAAATAAGCACTCCCCCTCTCGGCGTCGAAAATTAAATAAGCGCCCAATGCGCTAATTCGAGCATTTCCAGCATTTCCACTTGCTAAATACATGTAATTCCAAACATTTAGGTACTCACGACGCATAATGTGGCTGGAAGTGACCTCCACCAATAATGATCCTTCCATTGTTGGCCAGTACTATTTAGATTGTGTTCGTCAGATAGAAGGTTTGTATAATAACGCTTCAGCATAGTTTAAATTAAATAAGCACTACTTCAATAGGAACAGTAAAAGCTATTTAGTGTTGTTATTCAACGTATTAGAGAGCCATTTTTAAATTTACTTAAGGTTCTCGTAATTTCGTTAATGTTTCATTTTTGTCATCGTAAATACCAATCTTTATTATTGTATTAAAATTGCACTGTTTTTCAGTTCTTAACTGCAAGAAGTGTTAATATAATTTTGTTATTATTTACAATTATTATTGTTATTATTATAATTATTATTGTTATTATTTTTTTTGTTATTATTATTAGTTACAAACGTTGATTAAATTTGGATTACTTTTCTGCTTTTTTTTTTTCAACAAGGTGCTCCTCGAATTGTCAGGGCTGACTGTGGTACAGAAAATGTAGTTACAGCTGGCCTTCAAAGGTATTTTCGCTCTAATGCTGATGACGTCTTTGCAGCAGAAAACAGCTTTATGTATGGCACATCCCCTGCTAACCAGGTAAATCGCTAAGAAATTAATGAGCTTATAAGGAACACTTTTGCAATGTAAATGAAAACCACCAAATGCATAATGCGAGTCCCTAGATACATTCAAAGCAAGAGAAAATAGACACCTTGTAGCTACCCTCGACGTATATTCAGTTTTACTCGGTTGGTGTTTAATTTTATCTAGAGAATTGAGGCTTGGTGGTCCGTTTTAAGAAAATCGAATGCCGACTGGTGGATAAAATATTTTAAGGTAATTAAGATATGCGTACAACGTTAGCTTACCGGTGTATAATAATTTAACAATAATATAATTATATTTATAATGCGCGAATTTCAGGGCGAATTTCATTCAATTATTTTAAGAAAAGTTATAATTAAAATTAAAAGTTAACTTACAATAATGAAAAACAACGGTAACAAAAATGCATGACGAGGTAAAGGTGAATTTAAAATACTGACTGTGTGCTTCTTATTTCAAATGGTAGCGCATTCCAAAAAAAGAAAATGCACCTACTGTAGCTCTGGATTAAAAACGCGGGCATGCAATTTATTACATGAATTTTTAGCGGCACGTTTATTAAGTTATTTTGAAGAATCGTTTTTAGTGACACTTTTATGTAGCGAGTTTTCGTAAATTAAGTGTCGCAAAGATTTCATGTAATAAAGGCAAGTAAAACTTTATCACTGAAATATCCTATCTTGGACCCTTAGATTACATTTGGATCGGGGCGTAAGAGAAATAAGAGACGATTAGTAAGAAGGGTAGCCAGTGCAACTCATGATCATATTAAAGAGGCGTTACATGGCAAACATTTTTGTTTTTTGTAGTCACGTTTTTAAAGATCATAAGACATTGGTCTATGCTCATCTGTTTCTAATAACCATAATCCTTTAAATCTGAGTTTTATAAAACAGATCAAATGGGATGAAATTAAAGCACTTTCAGACTTTTCAGCAGAGCTTGTGAAAAACAATCATTTATTAAACCTGAATCTGAGCGTTTATATTAAAACTTTTTATTTAATTTCATTGTAATGTTTTGTTTTGCGGCAGGATCTAAGAGACACTGGAGTTTATGATGACAGTGATCCCCTACAAATGTAAAAGTGTTTTCTTTATTTAACATATATATATATATATATTTACCAGACTAGAAAAAGAGGAACAGGCAATGCTGGGAATAAGGCAGATAGCCTTCTTCATATACTAATTCTCAGCCTTATTCAGCTGGTGTTGCTGGTTGGTTTAATTTAGGGTACGCCTGATTTAGCTTACTTGCTCCTTGATTAAACAAAATGGAAAAAAATCTTCTCTTGTAGGTGATTCCTTTTGTTCGGGTCTGACCGGGCTATACAAATTATGATTTTCATGATGATGATGGTCATTATATCAGTAACAGCTATTTTAATTATGATTGTTATTGCTGTTTAAATATTTTACCATAATTATCCAAATAGCTGTACGTTTTTCTTGACATAATCATCCATAATTTTGTATTGTTATAACAACCAAGAGTCGTCGACTAATAAGTTCTTATTTCTTAAAAGGCAGCTTTGTCTATTTTGAACTTTAAATTATGTTTTTCTAATTATTGCGTTCCAGAGCATGTCTGCAGTTTTGTTTTACTGGCTTGTTACAAGAGGAGTTGCACCGAGTTGCAAGACACTGGAACACACACAGGATAAGACCATATCCTAACCAAGAGAGCCATCCTGGAAAACCTGACGTTTTGTTCTTTATCCCAGAACTTAAAGGCAAGTAACTCGTCTTTAAACTTAAATAGTTTCACACTTATATGACCGCGTTACATGTTTCTGTCGCACCTGAATGAAAGCGGTTACCGATTGCATCTGAGAGCTGCGTGTTCTTAAATTATTAGATGATGATGATGATGATGATGACGATGATGATGATGATGATGTTTTTCAGGCACCACTGATTTCAAGACTCCTGTAGATTTGGATGACCTGGAAGTAGCAGAAAGAAACTTCTGTAAAAAGCGAGATGTCTTTGGATGCCGGAGCGAGTTTTCCGATGTTTTGCAAATGCTCATGTCCGACCATTCTTTGACAATGCCAAGAGATGCAGAAGAAGGAAAGATCTTGTTTACCACACTATATTATCTTTTGCAAGCAATCGTTTAGCCTTTGCTTTTTGTTAAAACAACACAAGCGAAACAGTGTGAAACATGTACAGAAATAGATCAGTGAATGAAACCATAAAAAATCGTCTCATTCGTTTGCCTAGAGAAAAAAAGCACAGTCTATTTAAAAACTGATGTCGGTAAACCCCAGAAGTTGATATTTCGTTTGGCGTGCAGATCGTGCAGATCCATTTTTTTTTTTTCCCAGAGTCTCCCCGGCGACCATCCGCTGACACCGAGCCGAAGAGACTCTGGACTTGGGATTGACTGAGGGCTTTCTATTCAACCTCGTTCCCAGTTTTTCCCTTTTTCAAAGGAGAGAAAAGCCCTGGGAAGGAGGTTGCTTTCTATTCAATGTACAATTGATTCGCTGTGCCTTAACAGAACAAAATTCCTAGGGAGGGGTGCATTTACTCCACCCGTCCCCCCTGGGGATATAAGTTAGCATGCACATAACACCGTCGTTGAGGGCGCACTCTTGTCAGGCCATGCGTCGCGTGCGATGAAGAAAGGCAAAACTAAAACTCTTTTGCGGGTTGTTTATCTAGCTTTTTTTTTATCCCTTTTTCGCCCTATGTTGTTAAACCTTTTCGAAGATATTTTGAAATTTTCGTTATTCTTCCAAGTTTTTTTAACGTGATAAAAGTTACGCAACTTGTTTTCGCTTTTTTTGAGAGTTGCTCGCGCCCGTTTTTAATCCGAGAGCAATATTTACGTCGTTACGCGCGCTACTGGGTCTCTAAAAAACTTTAGTAATTATTAACAACCTTAAGTCCAGAATAGGATATACAAATAAGAGACGTTTGGTCTAGAATAGGGCTACAAAATGAAGCTTATTGGGTCTGGTATGGGTAAAGGGTATCAAAGTCCCAGCGGCACACCCCTAGCCAAAAATATTCTGGGCCTACCCCGGGAGGAGGGAGTGGGCCATAAATAAAACAAACCCAAATGCACACCTGACGTCCACTGTGTTGGAAGTTTCTCGTACGGAAAAAATATTAATACCGTAAGTGGCATTAATATCTACATTTTGCCGACAATTATCCATTACCGAACCAAGAAAAAGGCAACTCAGGGAAAGGTAACACAACATTTTATTTAAGGTCTTAACAATGCGTTCTAGGAAATGTTAACGAAGAATTTCCATACAATCAGTGAAGAATAAGCAGTAATCTCTGCTCTGAAGTTAACGGAAGCAGTGTCAAAGGAGAATAACGAATAGATAGCTTGATTATGCAGAAAGTGATTCACGTGAACGAAATCATCTGACAACCTCAATGTTTTATGTACCATACCTCATTGCCAACGGGGCAATGAGTCGTGAAGTTGGTGTGCGTAGACACACCAAAAAGTAAGAAATCCTTCACAAATGATTATTTAGCTAGCAAAATTCACACATTGAACATTATCATGCAGAATTAATTGGTGAACAACTGATCTAAATATCTAAAACACAACAAAGTTCATCTCACAGAGTCACAGTTGCAAACATCCGCTGAAAAACTAACCAAACAAAACAACACCACAAAACACCCAGCAGTTTTTCTCACTTCTTGCAAATGTATGTATTCAAAAACGGAACTATTTGCAATCCGAAATGTTCATCTCCCACTGTTAGTCACATTAATTTATATCCTGTGCCACTGTTAAATGCACCTTTGACAAACGGTGACTGGTACTTTCCCTGCCGACTTTGCGTCTCTTTCAGTCTTCAAGATCCCAAAGCGATGGATTCTTAATAAAGAAATCCAGATTTTCTCTCAGTCGGTGGTACGTTTGGTAGTTTCGCGGTAGAGTAAGTACCTGAAAACATGTACGGGCCGTCGGTCTTGTTGCCAGGACAGCCATGTCTTCAAAGCGAACCTTGATTTTTCTTCCTGGCAACACCATGTCGTTCCCTGTAGAAAATCGTAGAAATAGGGCCAACGTGATGGAGTCCGCTTCTTTCAGATACCGTCGTAACCATCTTTCAACCTTTGCTTCTTTCGGACTTAGTGGCACGATGTGGAGAATTTTGACGACCCGAGTGGGCGAAGGGGTGCAGAGCTCGTAGATAGAATCTATTTCCTCTTCGGTTACGGTGTCCCAGAAATTACCCATTCCTTCTCTGATTTTCAAGAGCGGCAAAAACAGTTTGGTGACAAACTCGGAAGTTCCAATCTTGACAAGGGTTTCCTGTAAGTTGGATGCTGTTGGCGGGGTTCTTTGATGGTATTCGTCAAAAATATCCATTACTTCATCTTGAACAGACGATAACGCTATCTTGCCCTCGAGAACATCAGACAGCAGTTTCATTTCTACAGGCGGCAGTAGGCGAAGGAATGATTCTAGGATGATCTCATCGGACACCTCTTTAAAAAGCGCCTGATACATTGACGCCTTTACTAATTTTACGGGGAATGTTCCACACTGAATAAACATGTGAGTTATGAGGCGTCCGAGTGCGACGAAGTCTTCCTCCAAAAGATTAGGCGAAACGCAAAGGGTGTACTGATTACTGCCCTCGCAATATTGTGAGAAGAACGATTCCCAAAAAGGGAATAGAGTTCTCGTAGAAGCCCATCACCATTTGCCTGTTCACCTTCGAAGGAGACCACTAACTTTTTGCTTGAAATTGCTTCGTCTTCACGGTACATCTCGAGGAGCTGTTTAACAACATTGTTTTTATCCACAGTTATGTGGTACCTTTGTAACTCTTCTTCCCCTCTTCGGGCTTGTAAGGTGTGGAAATGTGCTTCGACTTCCACGCTTTCGTCTCCCTCCATGAATACCTCTGGCAAATCAGGTTCAACCCGCGCCACTTGGTAAGTCTGGTCGTTTACTTCGGCCAAACTATGTTCATCTCCTTGGTCAGCTTTGTCAGACTCCTGGAATTGGTCTCCAGTATTATTTAAATTTCCATGAGTAACATTGGTATCTTCGGTTTCGTCTGTTAAGGTGTCCCCAGCGTTTCATCACCCAGATGGTATCCGTGGAACGCAACTTCGCCGTCATCTTCGATTAAGGGTAACGGATCGTCTTCCACAGTCATGGTAAGAAGGTGCGAATGGCTGATCTGCACACCTTCAGCAGGAGATATTGGCACTTTAGGCTCCTTTGAGAGGGAGAAGTACTTAGGAGTGCAGCTCAGTGACCCTATCCAGTCGTACACATTCCACATCGCTGCATCAACTGGGAAGCGTCTGGTAACTATACCAAGGCTGGTGTGTCTGACTCTAACAAGTAGAAAACTTCCGTCTTCTTCCGCCTCTGGTAAGACTCGCTTTGAACGTGATCGCCGCAACCTTTCTAACTGGGCTCCTTCTTCTTGTGCTCTAACGATCTCTTTGTTAATTGCATCTTTCGCTTGGTCTTGCTTAAGTGAAGCGGCTACTTCCAGAGCAAGCTTATTACGATACTCTTCTCTCTCTTTCGATGTGCCAATGAGCTGCGACGAGCCATTTCCACCCTCAGAAGCATCACGCGAAGGTATCATAGCGCGAAGCAAATCTTTTTCATCGCCAGAGTCGTATGGCAGCTTTTCTTTGGACAACAGGTACAATCGAGGCTTGGTAAAGCCGGTCGCTGCCTTGTATCGCTCGGCAGTAAAAGGGAGCAACTCGCCATCGACCCTAACGTCAGTAACACCACAACCATTAAAATCACCAAGGGACAAATCCATTTCATCCTGCGATCCTTCGGGACTGACACCCAGTGGAAAGAATAATTCTTTTGCTATTCCCAAGCACTCGTCGGCACTTGCAACCTTAGGTATGTCTACAACCCTGGTTCCGCCTCCGCTTCCCTTTTTCTTTTGTCTAAATGTTTCAGTTCTTGTACACCAGTGCTTCCAACCAAATTCGAATTTAACAGCTGTTTTGGCCATTTTCTTTTCCTTTTTCTCGAACGATTCGCGCCCGTGACTCCTTTTTGAGGCCCTTTGATGGCCAAGCATGCTTTTCAGCTTGTCAACGGCGTCTTGTCGCTTCTTCTGTTCGACTGTTGTTTTCGACTTTCTTTCACAAAATGCTCGAATACGTAGTCGGTCGCCCATTGCCTTGACACCTAATTCTTCTAGCTGCTTATCTGACATCATTAAGACTGATGATTTATCAATCTGAAGTACAGAAAAAAAATATAATAAGACAGGTTTTATTATTTTTATTTTAAAAGCTGTATTGGGTATTTCAAATAAAATAGCTATCCGAAAAGGGCCTGTGCTAACGGGACACCTTACCCGTGCGAGGTACCGCCCGTGAGAAAAGAAAAAAAAAGCAAAACTCTAAAACATGGAGGATATGTTGTAAAACCGCTAGTAAGTTACCTTGAAGTTTTTTGGCACTTTTCATACAATTAAAAGGTACCTTTTTCGCGTTTTTGTTTATAACCTATCCTACCTCGAAAAAGGTACATGTACCTTTTTATTGTTATAGGAACACTGCTGGCAAGATATACACTGCAAAGATGGATATTTTCATCGTAGCAGTATTTTCACGCGGACACAGCGAGCGAGCCTCGCAAATAAAGGTGAATATAAATAAACCGCTTTCAGTTAGTAAATGTGTTGTGAGTGATTTACTATGTTCACATCGCACATAGTGCTTTATAGGTAAACTTCCTAAAATCAAAGTAAATCAAAAATACCGTCATAATGCCGGTGAATTATTTTGTTACTGGTTGTGGACCATATTCCAGTGATTTTGAGTTGATGTTGTCCAAACATAACAACTAGGGGGGTCCAGGGGCATGCTCCCCCGGAGAAAATTTGATTTCCAGCACCTCAGAAACACTATTTTTAAAGTATTCTGGAAAACATTTGCTGTCTTCACTTCGCTGTACAATTCTTAAACATTTTACCTTGGAGATCAACAGTTTCCTTCTGCAAGAATGATTTTTTTCCGTCAGTTTCGGTTTGCATGAATTTTTTTTCGGGCATTTTGGCTTGCATGATTTTTTTTTGTATTTTCCCCATCCCCCACCCATCAATTTTCTAATGGTCCGTCCTTAGGGAAAGATCATTTAATATGACAAGGGGGGGGGATGAAGATATTGAGGGGGGGCTCCGAAAATTTTTAGACACCCGAAGGGGGGGCTCTGAAAAAATTGTTGTGCTAGGAGGGGGGGCTCCGAAAATTTGTATACTTCAAAACCAACACATGACATCATCAGACAGATCGGATGGTTTTCAACTCAACAATTTAATGACCTGTGCAACTCAGCTATATCACGTGGTTTACAGATATAACAAAATAATGTAGTCTCAGTAATTATTACACTCTTGTTCATCCCAAAAATGCTTTAGAAAATTGTATCATAACTGTATCTCAAGTTTGTGATAGTATAAACCATTGAAGACAATAACGTAAATATATTTAATCGGTCAGTGTAAAACGTAGACTGCGGACTGCGGACCAGGGGTAAAATGCAGACTGAGTGTAAAATGGAGACTGCAGACTGAGAGTAAAACGCAAACTGGGATAAAATGCAGAATAAAGACTGTAGACTTTTTTTAAACATTTGTGCTCCTTCTTCTCCAAATCTGTGAAATAGCTAGCCGGTATCAGTTAAACACTTCACTTCCCAGTCGAAGTGCATTGCACATTCCCTAGAAGTTTCTATGAACATCCGAACAGCTTAAGTCTGTGTACCTTGATTTGCAATACTTTCATAAAAGGTCATCAAAATTTCTTGCAGAACATCTTTCTTTGTTGTTGGAATGATTTACTCCCTTTTTTATCGCCATAATTCTTCCTGTACAGTATTTTGGTTCAGCAGCTTTCATTTAAGCGTAAACATCGTGGTGTTGTACTAATTCACGGTCCCTGGTCACTTGTATCGAAAACTTCGCGTCTAAAGTTGAAGCGTAAGGTCTCTCGGACGGAAAAAAAAAGCTTCAAGATTGCGATTGTTTTGGGTCGTCGACGACGTTCTAGAGAAGAAAGTCCTGAATGGATTTGTGCAAGCAGATGTCGTCAAGTAAGTGTTCCTTTAATACATGTATTTGCGGGATTTTTTGCCCTTAAACCCTTCTACGACTACAGTTTATGCTCGGTCTGCATTTTACCCCAGGTCCGCAGTCTGCAGTCCGCAGTCTGCGTTTTACACTGACTGTATATTTAATACAGTCTAGCTATCTTTTTTCAGGGGAGCAAAGGAATTGAAGGAGGAATTGGGGGGGCTCTGAAATTTTTTTGACTACCAAGGAGGGGCTCTAAAAAAATTGAACTGCTAGCGAGGGGGGCTGCTAAAATTTCAAGCTTCGAGTTTCAATATCTTCATCCCCCCCTTGTCATATTAAATGAACTTTCCCTTATAGTCAACTATTACGCTGTTATATTTTAGTCAAATGAATATTTAGTTGCTAACCGAACCACCTACTCGTCTTTACTTTGTGAAAGATTTTGCCCTTTATGTGATCAGTCGGCAAGTCCCGCTCTGACCACTAGCTGGAGTTGCTTCACGGTACTCCCGAGTTCAACTCCTCGGCCACGCTTGTAAAAAGCCAGCTGGTTTGCCTCCTGCCAGTTGGGGTTTTTAACCTTGTTATGTTTAATTTACGACTATTTGTTTCTAATATTTGCTCGGCCCCACTAGCCTTTGTGCTATAAACACTGCCGAGGGTAAATAAAGGATATTTATTTATTTATTTACAAACATGTAATCGCAATGTGCCCACGGGCAATTACAGATTAATTTCACTTGTATTTTCAAAGTTTTCCAGATCGCACTCGTTACTTATTAAAACTTTGAAAATAGCGTGAAGTTAATACTTAATCCCATGCGATAACATATACCAATGCTCAATTTTTCTGCTCAGCCGCTGCACTTTCAAGTTACGAAAAGCAGAATTGCCAGAACGTTTCACTGATGTTTTACGCCATTAAACATACGAAAAGCAGAATTGCCAGAACGTTTCACTGATGTTTTACGCCATTAAACATACCTTTTCAAGAAGAAACCGATCGGTTCAAGTTACGAAAAGCAGAATTGCCAGAACGTTTCACTGATGTTTTACGCCATTAAACATACCTTTTCAAGAAGAAACCGATCGGTAACTGTGCTGTCTTGTCCACTATCCTTCATGAACTGAATAAGCTAAAAAGAGGTAAACATGTGCGCACACTCAGATTACGATGGAAGAAGCTTCACCGGCGTTTAGCCGGAAAAATTTATCGCTCTTTTATTCTTCTGATTTTGTAGCAATTTGTCCGTTCATTTATTTCAGAAAAAAAAAACATTACAAATCAGAATAGTATGCCATACATTACCTCTGACACCTCTTCGTCCGCGGCCATGCTTTTGCTGCGAGATGACGTGTGAGATGGCGTGACAATTACGCAATACTCTATCTCGCATTTTTTTATCTCGCATTTTTTATCTCGCATTTTTTTATCTCGTTTTATCTCGCATTTTTTTTATCTCGCATTTTTTATCTCGCATTTTTTATCTCGCATTTTTTATCTCGCATTTTTTTATCTCGCATTTTTTATCTCGCATTTTTTTTATCTCGCATTTTTATCTCGCATTTTTATCTCGTATTTTTTTTATCTCGTATTTTTATCTCGCATTTTTTATCTCGCATTTTTTATCTCGCATTTTTTTTTTTATCTCGCATTTTTTATCTCGCATTTTTTTTTCTCGCATTTTTATCTCGCATTTTTATCTCGCATTTTTTTTATCTCGCATTTTTATCTCGCATTTTTTTATCTCGCATTTTTATCTCGCATTTTTATCTCGCATTTTTTTATCTCGCATTTTTATCTCGCATTTTTATCTCGCATCTCGCATTTTTATCTCGCATCTCGAATGTCCCTTACAGGCTTCCGTATCTATCATTTATTAGTGAAGAAAAACTAGGGGAGGGGACAGGGGGAGGGGCTTATTAATTTTCTTCCTCCGAAAAGGGGGGCTTATTAGAGGCAGGGGGATTATTTGAGAGGGGAGAGCTTAATAGAGGATTTACGGTATTGGTAATCGAACACCAGGGTCGCACCACAGTTTCGCAAAAATAGAAGGGAATTCGGATTCAGTCGCACGGGGAAGGTCACAAATCTGACCCTCATAGCACTAGCCATTTCCGACGCAAGGGCTGTTTCCACAAAGTACAGTTGTAGGCAGCCGTTTTTTATCGTCACGCAACGCGTCGACATATTTTTTAGGAAGAGTATCAATAGATTTGTTATTTCTTTGCTATCGCATTACTTCAAGAATATGAACAAACCTCCAACCCAAATCTAACTAGCATGCTTGTTTCCGCTCTTGGCAACGCGTACATGTACTTGCTTTCAGTTCTGTTTGATTGTTTGCGACTGTTGTGATTAGGCAGTACGATTATTTTGGTATTGGCCGAAATTGCCACCCCGAAATTGAAAACTGCAGAAAAGAGTTCTCTAAGCTAAGCTAGAGAGATTAAATTTCGTCGCACATTAAAAAGGGTTTTGCTAAATAGTTCATCGAAGAGGTGGGCGCTATAGAGGCTTAAAAGGCGGCAGTACTAACGGTACGCAAACTTGTTGAGGCGGGGTGGGGAAGGAGTAATTGGCTCCTAGGTGGGGTAGAGGTGAGGTAACGCATTAACATAAAGGAAATACAGTCGAACCCCGCTATTTCGAACTCGGTTAATTCGAAGTCCCCGCTATTTCGAAGGAAGATCGAATTCCCTTGGATTTACCCTTATGTTTTCAGTCATTTACTATCAGCTATTTCGAACTCGGTCATTTAGAATTCCCCGCTATTTCGAACTCATCGTTTTTTCCCTACACCTTAAATCAACCCCGTTATATCGAACTTGTCAAGAGTACGTACATAAGAGCACAGCTGGAAACGTATTGCATTTTATTTGAGCTCGTGTTGCGTAATTAATGACCAATGCTTGACTCACGTGCAGTAGCCTGCGTAGCAGGCACTTTGAAGTAGTGGGCGAAAGAGAGAACGGGCGCGCGCGCGTGAGGGAGACAGGCTACACGTGCAGTGTCATTCACGATCGACAAAAGTATTAGAAAAAACCAAAAACAACTGAACATTCAAAGATTTTTCAATGCAACAGCATCTGCTAATTTATCCGACTATAATTACTGTACGTATTTTTATTTAATCAGTGTCTTTCTTCACACTGTACTGTACTTTATTAAAAAATGATTCATTGTTACGAATTTTACGCTCGCCCGGTTATTTCGAAACCCCGCTATTTCGAACTTTTTTCCATTTCCCTTGGGACTTCGAAATAGCGGGGTTCAACTGTACACGCCCACCTTCCCCTCCCCTCCCCGTTACGTTAACATTAACGGTCAAAGGGCAAAATATTGGGTTAGGGGAGGGGTAGGAGAGGCAGTTTTTTACACTGACTCCAACATTACAACACAAGGGTATGTGTACAAAGGTTACTAATTTCTGAGGTAGGTATCAACGAGCAACAGGGACCGTAATGAACGTCTTCTAGAGAAGACACATCGATACCCTGCGCAGCAGACGAAACTAAACCTCTGGTAGAGTCCGTATGCAAGCACGCGCTACGATTGGCCTGTCAAAAAAGCCATTGTTCGATTGGCCAATGAGGTTCAAGGGAAATTCGAAACGCACTTCCGGTGATTCGTTGAGTCCGCAAGCATGCGCTACGATTGGCCTGTTAAAAAAGCCATAGTTCGATTGGCCAATAAGGTGGAAGAGAAGTTCGAAACGCACTTCCGGTGATTCGTTGAGTCCGTTGGAAGACGTTACTAGTCGGTTTTAGGCGCAGGCTAGGACATGGGTCACGAACGAAATCTTGTATTTGTCGGTCAGACATTAAGAAAAATAGTGTACACGACAAAAAAGTTTGAACGCTAGGCCCGAGTAACAACAAGTTCTTTCAACCAAGTGCTAAGCTTTCAACACGTTTCGCAAAATTCAATTCAACGCGAAAGTTTGTATCTTTTACCGGAGAAGTGGTGTTAACTAGGTACTGCAAGAAGAAACGGACCGCATATGCTTCAATTTTTTAATGAACGGAATTGTTAGAGCTAGCATTCATATTTACAATTATAAACAAGCCAGTGTTCATAAAACAGACGAGGTCGAACGGAGCTGTCAAGATCAGATCCGTTAATCCCTTCAAACTAACCCAACATGGACACTGCCGGTAAAAAAAATCTGCACGAGTGTCGCAACCTTTTCCTCTCACGTCCTCTTCGTTGCTAGCACGTGCCTCGCACGCATAGGTCACGTGCCATTTGTTGTTTGGTTTTTATCCTTGAGGTTTGTGTCTCGCGGTTTAGACCACGCCTGGTTATTGACCCTTCTTTACGATCCTCTAAGGCAGTTCCTTGTCTTCGAGGTATCTATACTCAAATGTGAAGCCCTCTTTTTTTCTTTGGCCCCATTTTTCATAGTCAAAATAGATGTAAGTTCCCTGAAAGGACAGAACCCAAAGTCAGAAAATAAATGAATGATAGGATGCATTTCCAGTTAAACCCATCGACAATAAGGAGCTTAAACAACAGCATTTTTGAGCGACAGACGCTGAGACGTCAACCGGAAGTCGAAATTCATTTCAATAAATTTGGATGGGGCTTATATGCGGGGTCGGGGGAGGTCTGATTGTATGTATTGTTTTTGTATGTGTTTTGTTTACAGATAGATGGGCCTATCAATGGGGGGTGGGGGGAGCTTATAAGAAGCAATTTAAAGGAACAGTATCCCGTTACGTTACTACGCATTTACCAGCCTTTGATTTTCTAACAGGATGTCGGGAATTCAAAAGATGCGAGGGGTGTAAGAGAACCTTGAGAAGATCCGTTTGCATCGCGCTTGGCCGAGTTCGATGCTACACTAAAACTTCTCAGAATTACAGATCAATGATAGTATTGTTCCTTTTTCCCTTATGTGCACATTATCGGGACACTGTCCCTTTTATAACGGCATAGAAAGAAAGGAGAACGCAATAAAGATACAAATCAATCAGCCAATTAATGAACGAATGAATGATTGAATCAATGGATCAATCAACCAAACAACCAATCAATTTGGAATTGTCCAAATTCCTTCTAACAACACTCCCGTCCCAGAACACTACAAGGATACAAATAAACCCACTTTAGTGATTAAGGTAATCCTACTTGTTCATATTCGTCCGTAATAGCTTTGGGTTCCTCGTGTCTTTGAAACCACATCATGTACTTAGTGTGAAATCTCCAAGACTGTTTTTTCAACGCTTTCGCTGCTAGGTACTGTGCTCTTGTTCCCTGAAATAAATATTAACAAGAACTGACTACTGTTTTCTGCCACATTGCTGATTAAAGCATGCGTCCCCTTAAAAGGACAAACTTGAAGTTTCTAACTGTAAAAGCGTTGTCTTACAAACAAGGAAAAACAAAAAGAGGAAAAAGAAAAAAATAATGATAACCCTGAAAACACTTATGCAGTATGGTATAATACTTTAAAAAAATTGACATCAACTGAGATAAGAGAACGAAACTAAATTTTTCTTTATCATTGGCTATTGTAAAGACTTTTTGATCTTCGTTCTCTCAACAGACCAGATCCTTGGATGTAGTGGGGGTGCCTAATTTATCCCTATTTAGCTTCTTTCTGTTCTCTTTTCTATTTAAAAAAAATATATTGTTGCAATTAGGGGTAGTCAGTCAGTATCATACATTGCCTAGTCCCTGCACGGCGTTTTCCCAGGCCTTCTCGGTCAATTCACTTCGGTGACGCATCCGAGGCGTACGGGCCAGAAACGGCCTCACTTATCGCTCGGACGACGTGACCCGAAACGAATTGGCCGAGAAGGAATAATGAGGCCTAGGGACTAGGCAATATCATACACACAAAACTCCTAATTCCAAAGAGCATAAAAGAAGCTGCGAAACCAGAGTTGAAATAACAGTTCTTCATGGGATATTGTCTAACATTTGACTAACATTTGCCTCGTGTGAGAGCAAATCTAACCTGCGGCCAGGCACCACAACCAGACAGATCAAAAATTAACAGCAATACTGAAGACCAATATAATTATTAAAGCTGAAGATTTGCATAGCAATAAAAGAAATTTAAATTCAACAAAATTAATGTCCGTCCCGCAAATTTTCTTCTTTGTCCCACTAAACCAGTGACCTGGTTGGAAATATCAAGCCCCTTGATTCTACAAAAAAGTTATTTCTAGGCCTGTAGAGCTCTGTGAGCATATTTTTGGGGACTTAATTCACCCTCATAACTAAGGCATGATCGAGCAGCCCTTTTTAACCTCCTACTTCAAAGAATACCAGATACTTACCTCTTGGTAATAGAAAATGAAGAACAGCGTCTCAGTTGACAATCTCTGGAAAAATTCTATAGAGTCTACATGTTGTGGGGGATGTTGATGATGGTGAGGGGGTGTAGGGTAGGGATTACGTGGTAAACAATGCCTGTCAACAAACAACACAAGAACATCAAATTTTTTCTTTGGAGTCGCCTATGTCAATGTACTCGCAAGCTTGAGATAATATTAATAGAGGTGATTTGTATGCGAGTGTTTTACAGTTTGTAGGGATCAAAACAAGTGTTCTAAGTTTCCCTGAACTATAATTTCATTCTGTACAGCCAGTTTTACAAATTCATTGAAGAAGACTTTGCATCAGGGATAGCGATCAATAAGCGCTTGCTAGCCCGAAATATTATGCTTACATTAAAGGCTAGGTGACGGTGAACAAACAAGATAACATTTTCTTTCTGCGTACGTGTACTGTGGGTTCTCTGTGATATTTCATCAAAAGTTTCAAATCATGCAGAAAGCCACCAGAGCTAAAAAGAATAACCTCCAGGAAAGTAACTAAACTTTCACATGTCTCGGTTTACGTTCTCTCGATACAAAGCCGTTTTGATACAAGTTTATTCAGTTCAGGTGTAAATAGTTCCAGGTACTTGGCTTAAAGAATGAAGAATATTCACCCAAAATGTTTTGCATGTTCACCCGCAAAATAAATACTTGAAGTGATTGAAATTTTTGTGCAATATCACTGCCGGAGTTCGTATCGAAACGACCGAACTCCCACGTCTCCTGCAGCTTAGTGGTAGAGCATCTTGACTAGTTTATACCAGAAGGTCATAGGTTTAACGGAACAATTTACGTGTCTGGGAAACTGCCCAACCACCCCTCCCTTAACCTAATATTTTGCCCTAAGTGAGAAGTAAGTGATAATGCTGGCTTGGGGAGGGGTAGGTGGGTAGTTTGCCAGAAACCTAAATTGATATGGTTCAACTCCTGTTGTGAGTATTCTGATTTTTTTTTTCCGAGCTGCCTGTGTCACAGACTTAATAAACATCTTTCTCATGTTATCACCAGGCTTAAAATTCACCAACACATTTCTGATAAGAATTGATGACACAAAGCCATCGAGACATCAAGTTCCTTATGTCCTCGATTTTTGTTTCATCACATTCCTATTACCACAAAACGTGTTTGTACCTGACTTTCTCTGAGTCTGCCGGAAGTGGTAGATGGTGGTAAGCAGCTTCCAGCATAGCCAACTGATAACACCTCTCTTTGTTCAAGGGTACAGGACCCAGTGGCGCCACGCCAAGGAGAGGCTGAAGGTGTGCTGTGTTTGTCTCTTGAACTACTTTGCTGTCATCTGCTGTTTGACTACCACTTGAATCAAATAGTCCTAAAAACGGATAAAGAAATGAGAGGTTTTACGGGGCTAAGTCACGCTATTTGCCATCTTTTTAAAAGGCTAAAACTTGTCTTTGCATCAACTGAATTCCAAGAATAAAGGAACAGTTTTGCTATTGAAGACTGCATGTATATTTAAGCATTGAAACTGTTTCCTGGTTTCTGTTGCAATGGAGGATAAGGCAGAACATGGACTGAAACAACTTTCTCAAGTTTAAATGCTATGCCTGCGAAAATCACCCAAATTTATTATTTATTAAAATTTATATTATCTTCTTCATAACTCTACAGGGGCATTTTATGTAAGGGTGCAGGCACTAAGTTATGACCTAAGCACAGAATTGACCTAAAAATTAATAGCAATACCCTCCTGACATACATGTACCCCCTCCAAAACCCACATGTTGTGTAAAAATACTGAAAGATTCAATAAAAGGTCATAGGACAAAGACAAAGTCAAGAGTTGGTAACACTTACAGTGCGACTACTATAACAAAGTTGACCAGTTGGAAGACAGGAAAATAACAATACATTCCAAGAAAGTTAGTTGTCAATCATTATTACCACAGAATGAAATCAACAACACGGATCGAAATCAACCTGATAAGAAAGCCTATGTTTCCTGAGAAGTCTGTTAGTGTTGACTGAGGCAAAAAATGAAAACGTTAGTCATATTTTGGACTTAAGGTCGCATGTTTTTATTGCAAAGTGCAACAATGGTAGTGAAGAAATTGCTGGTAGGTGACAAAGTAACAGCTTGTGTCAAACAAATATGTCTCCTGGGTGCTAGTTTCAAATAGAAAAACATTGTCTGGTGAAACAGTCTGCTTTAGTGTGAAACGTTTGCTGTCAATATTTAAAGTTGAACTTTGGCAACTTATTGTTTTTTTAGGAGCTGCTGATTGGCCCACAACTAACTTTCTTGGAATGTGTTCTTATTTTCCTGTAATCTGATTGGTCAACTTTGTCCAGGTGTCCCTGGTTACAGTAGTTGTACTGTAAGGATGATAGTCAGGTTGAATATGATCAACTCGGTGAAATGAAATGTGGACTTTTCGTTTGCTGTGACTTGGAGTTATAATCTAAATTTGACTTTGGCCCCTTCTGACAATGGAAGAGGTTAAGACGGAATCCATCAGAAAATTGCGTAATTTCAACTTTCAGTGGACAAAAACCTTGAACCAGAATAATTTAAACAAAGTCACATTCTTTTTTACATTTTTCAAGGGCTATAGATATAATTAGTTATCTGTTATAACACTGAAGACTATTTCTCATGGGAGCCTGAGAAAATAAATGTCAAATTTCACAAAGAACTGTGAAAACACAAGTAAAATTCTGAAAATTTCATGTGTAAGACGTCATTTTGGGAAATTTGACATTTATTTCTCAATAATAAATAATCTTCACCTCTGCTTTCTGCACTGTAGTCTGTTGGTGCAGAGATTGGATTGTTCAACCCTGCTGTAGCTACTGCTTGTGCTGCTATCGACTTCAGTGATGAAAATGAATTTGATGTTGAAGCCTGTTGGAAAAAAATATGAAGAGAAGAAGTCAATTTAACTAGATTTTGAAGTAAACATAACATGCCAGAAAATTCTCTCTGTATGGGGTCTATGATATCTTATTCAGTGTTTTACTAAGAAAGGTAGCGCATCGGTAATTAAATAAAAAGGAACTGAGAAAAGGTTTGGTCTACAATGTATAAGTGTACAATTTCACAATTTACTATGCCAAAAACAGTGTCTATTAACAAAACCCATAGAGTCGACTCTGTCTTGATGGGCACCATTAGGACTGGTACTCAAGGTCTGTCAAGAGTGATGTCGGTCTTATAGAGAGTCAAATAAAGGGAGTAAAGAAACGCAGGGTGTCCGTCTTACAGAGGTGCCTGTTAGGACGGAGTCAACTGTACTGCCACAAATACCTGACTCACTCCTGGGTTAGACATGAGATGGGAACCATTCAAAATTGATGTGGGTGGATTGGATGAAGGTACATGCACCAAAGGATCTCCCATTGAAACTGTAGAGTTTGACAACAGGGAACTGGAATTGGACACCATGGGAGGAGCCATCGACAAGTTAAAGCCACTAAGATCTGACGACTGAACAGATGAAGGGACAGAACTTGGAGGCACAGAGGATGTCAGGCTTGTTGAAACAGACTGTACAGGTGTTGGCACCACTGAAGATGTTGCAGGCTTGATTCCTATCACAGAACTAAGACCTGGAGATGGTTGCGGCATTGAGTTTGGCTGTGACGGTTGTGTTGCTGTTGATATCGTTGGAGGAGATGTGATGGAAAGGGATGCAATGGATGACACAAAATCGGACATGCTTGATGGGATGCTTTCTGTTTCTGCAAAAATTTAAGAGAACGGAAGTTTATCACCTGCAAAATGGTCATTCACTGTCTAACAGGAAGGCAAAGACCAAGCACACAATCCTAATCGACAGGTTTGTTTTACCCATGTGCTGAATCTATGTACACATGCAGGGCATGTATGTAGCTAGCATTTGCTTGGACTTTAAACGAGAAATAATGGAATGCATTGAATGCAATCTGAGCATGCTCATTTGGACCTTCTATCACTCATGCTCAAAATTTACGTAAAGCACAGTGTGGGCACAAGAGCATTTCCATCAATCTCACCCATACTCCCTTACCTTTAGTTATTATTATTTTTACTATTATCATTTTTGTTGTTGTTGTTGTTGTCGGCATTCATTTCCATAATCAACTTACCAGGAAGGTGGTTGCTCTGCACAGACTGGTCTGTACTATTTCCAGCCAATGACGCAAGTCTTGATATGCTATTGGGTATCGTTGGTGCCGCTGAGGAGACATGATTCACTAATCTTGATGTTACAGCAGATGCCGGTGGTGATACTGGTCCGCTGTCCACATGGTTCTGCTGTGCACTGGCAGCCACAGCATACCCAGACACGGGGGGTGGAGGAGTGTTTGGTGGAGGAGTCTTTAGTGACTGCTCTTCTCCATTACTGGATTCATGATTTTCAAAGGCATTGGAATGCATCATTGAACTATAACAAAAGAATAAAACAAGGCAAAAAATAGAAAATTTTCCTCCTGTTGTATAAACTATAAAGTACCAAAAATCTGCACATTACATCCCAAGAGGCAATTGAGTTGTAAAAATCTCATTGCTGCCCACATAGATAATGGCATCACAGCCACACTTGTAAATGTTGTGCAGGAGAAAATCTGGGCAATCAGAACCAGTCTGACTCAAAATTGTCTGATAAAATTGTCTGATGAAATAATAAGTAATTTGATCAAGTCAAAACAAGGTGGCCTTAGATAGAAATGATGCCCGCAAAACAATTTTATTTCATAGAAGCACTAATAAAGTGGAGCAGTGACTGTAGATTGTTCGGCAAACAAAACTGAATGAACTTAGAAAAAAAAAGATCATGAAAATCAGAATGCTAAAAAATTGCAAACTTTAATCGAACAAAAGTTAACTCAACAGATACTCACTTAACTACTTTAGCTGGAGTATTACCTAAAGAAAAAACAACCAACAAACAAGTTCAAAACTAAAGAAAAACTTAAGACAACCTCCAGAGAAAAACAGAACAACTCAAACAAAAATAAATCAATAGACCCTTCACTCACTAGCTTTAATGATGACTGGACTTGAAATTGTTCCTGATGATGCTTGCGTGAATGACTGCTGGCCTATGCTATTGGTTTTCAATGAAGACGTGCGAGGAGGTGAACTACTAGTACTACCTTGAGAGGATCCATTCTTAGAATTCTTCCTGGGTGAGTTCTGATGAAGAAAATGGATAGCAAAACCAGTTTAAAAGGCAACTTTTTCATGAGCAAAACTGAGTGATGACTCACATCCAGCACATCTGGTAGCCGTCTGGTTCCAGTATTGAGATAAAATTTAAGCTATCAGCTAGTAATAATTGGTATTAGTTAATAATAATATTATCTTTTTACCAAGATTCAGTAACATGTCTGAATTACTATTACCAGACTAATTTTAGTGCCTACTCCAGGTGTCACTGGTGTTGTTGGTGTTACAGGTGTGCCAGGTGTGCCAGGTGTGCCAGGTGAGTTTGGAGGTATCGTAGAACTTGGTGACAAAGGCACATGATTAAGAATAACATCAATATCATCATCTGGTGATGTTGCCAGAGCGTTCACTGCAAAGAAAAGACAAGTTATGACCATGGTGTACAAAATGTACCAGAACATTCTTCAAAAAATTTGCATCTGCTCCTTTATGAAAACAAGGTTGAATTTCTCCAAGAACGATTTCATAATAAAAGCTTTCCTTGTCCACAAAAAGAAAAATGAGGGTTCTTTAGAACTTTCCTTTTTTATTTGTGTGTTTTAACAGAGAGTCTTTCATCTTGAAATGCAGAATTTTGGTCTTGAAAACCACTGCACGGTGAATGCACAGCAGCCATTTTGTTGACACTATCACAACACGTCTCACCATGAAATACTCCAGTGCTCCCCACACAACATGGTGGGGCCAGGGAGGGGGACCAGGGGAGGTGAGGCATTGTGTGACGATGTAAAGAAGGGCTGCATGGGAGACTAACACCTCAGCAAAGAAAAAATAATAATAAAAAATACTTACCCGATGCTATATCAACTTCAAGGTCCAGGTCATCATACATGTACTCGTTCTCTTGAAAGTCGGGTTCCTGCAAAATTCAATCTCATTACTTCACTAACATTTGGTATGTTGCTTGGGGAAAATAAAAAATTCAGGCTCTTGACTCCAAAAACAGATGTCACATTTCTTTACTAAAATCCCTACATGGATTTTGAATTTAAAGAATCCATGCTAAGTGAATTCACGATATCAAATCTAAATCTACACCTGAGCATTTCTTTGGAAATGGACCTGATAGTTTCAGGGTCACCTGATAGTTTCCTGAGGCCCACCACATTTTAATTCATTTTAAAGATCTCTTGTTTATTCTCTAGTTGTAGCAAATCCAAAATTAATTCTAAACTAAGAATCTAAGTTTGGAATTGTCCAAAGAAACACACATTAAGAGATAACAGCTTATTGTTTCATTAACAATAAAAAACTGAATCAATGACCCTGGAAATTTCATAACCAAATAAGAGTTAATTCATTTCCCCAAGCTCTTGTTTTCCAAGGCATACAATGCTTTTTTTTCATGTTATCAAGGATTTTAACTCTCTTAGCCAGGCAATCCATGAATGTAAATATTATTTTAAGCATAATCTTAATTATTTTGTAATTAATTAAATGAATTTGAGTTAACATTTTGTACACTTTAATAGTTTTAACTTAATATTTTTGCTTTTTAATGTCTTCTATATTGCGTGTATTTTTTTTCTACAAAAAATACCTTGTAGCATTCTAGGTAATAATCCATGTCATCTTGTAATTTCTTAATCTGTAAAGGAAGAAATCAGGTTTAATGAGTACTGTAAGAGACAACACACCACTTGTGTAAAATAATATGGGTCCATAAGAACCCCTAGCCATACTCTACAGTGCTCTCTACCCCCTGGCCTTCTTGAACAGCAGCAAGAATTCTTTTGCATTCACTTTATGTGATGGATGAAGGAGACAAGACCAGCGGCTTAATGTCATCACCCACTACACCAGTTCTCTCAAGACTCTGGTTGGTTGTATGATATCCCACTTGACAGACCAGTGATCTACATGTACCAAGCCAGCTTATTGAGCCTACAGAAATGTAGTCATTTTTTTTTATTACACTGTACTGTCACTGTACATTTAAATTTATTGCTTACAGGTTATCTTAATGAGTTAATTAAAAACATACATCATCAGGTTCTATTGTGCCATTGTCCAGCATCCTTAGGATAGTCTGAAGAAAAAAAAAATTATAATCAAACATTGCAGTAAAACTTCAAACGACATTTAAGAACAAGAATGTTCTAAAGAACTGGGGTAAGAAGTTCTACAAGTACTTTATGTTCTTTCTTTTGTTACATCAGACAATAGAATGGCAATTTTCTAAACCATAATTTTTTTTGCAAACTTCCCCATAGTCAAAAATACTGTAAAACATACATGCAAGAACATCATACAGTCAACTTAGAGGTTCTAAGAGATTATACAAGAAAGCCTCAGAAAATGGCCAATATATTAAATCATGACTGAGGAATAGCAATCTCACCTCCCATTGTTGGTTGTGGTGTCGATGCTTGTCTGCCCATTCTTGTAGTTCATCCACTTTATCCTGCCTCTGTACAAACAAGGAAGATAAAATTTAGTTCACTTTGATTTTCTACAACCACTTTTAATACAGTCAACTTGAGTGGTACTGTAATGCAAAATGATGTTCCTGACAACAACAAAAAAAAAACATTCTTTCAAGTTTTATCAAAGAATAAAGCACTGAATAAAATAAAAGTAAAATAAATTATTTTAACCAAGGTTTTGATAATGTGTAATAACAAATGTCCTCATGGACTATCAATTAATGGTAATATCTTCGAACTTTGTACTTTTTTCCTCATTAGTACAAATCTTACATCTCTGTCAAGCTTCTTCTTCCGTGATCCTGCGTAAACTTGCTCTATTTCTGACTCAATCTGGTCCACCTTTGATCAAAACAACAGAGAATGTTACATTGGCACGTAACATTTTCTCCTGTATTACTTTGCCACTACTAAATTAAACAAGAGGGTCCAGCATTCTTTAAGTCAGACATTAAAAACTGGGTACAACATAATATTTATCTAGAAGGTAATTTGTTTTAATCATAAAAATTATACTAAGATACATGTACTAAGTTTTTCCATGAATTTTCGGTAGAGGGGAATACACAGGACACCCTTCTGAATAAAAATCTTGGTGCCCATTTATTGAGACTGATTTCCAGTGGTGATGAAGTTGGGTGCTAGAGTCATGAGCAGAGTCGCAAGAGGGCTTATGGCCCAATGAAAACAAAAAAAAACAGACACGTAAGATGAGTCATAAGAGCAATGGAATCGGAGTAGCAAGAATTAAAACCTGTCCATTTTTTTTCCACGTTGGGAATACAAATGTAAAAAGATAACATGCATACACACAAAAAAAACTTAAACAACTAGCAATGCATCATGATCAAATTCATCATTCCATCAGCGAAACTAGAGCATACCTCTATTTGAAGCCTATCCAGAACTTCCTACAATGAGAAAAGAAAAGAAAAGGAAAAAAATAATGATGTAAGAAACTTTCATTACTTGAACTCTATGTATAGCAGTTCTACTGTTAGGAGGCAATACAAGCAGATGCCAATGCAACTGTGGTCCATTATTCTCTTCTATAACCCAGCTTTGGGTCCCCTCCCCTCCCACAGCTTGCTGGTTGTGCATGTTTCATATATAAAGGGCTACTACACCTTTGTGGAACTAACAGTTGTAAGAGAAGTTTAGTGTTGACAAAGCTAATCTCAAGGAGCTATTGGCCCAGAACTAAATACCAAAAGGAGTAAATATGGAGCTTAAGTAACAACGATGGCAACGGCTACTAAAACGTCACTTAAAAAGAGTGAAGTCTCATTGTTTCAAGCTTAATCATGCTTATTCCATCTCGTTCAATTTATCAAATGTTGGCAATTTTCTCACAATTCAAGAAAACAAAAGGAAAATTGTTGTTTTGCATTCCCATCCTCAACAAAACGTGAAATTAGGCACTTTCATGTTGTAGTCGTGCAACGAGGGCTAAGAAATGTAAAAAAAAGCATGATGCACATGAAAAGTTGTTATTTTGCCAATCTAAACCTAGTGGGTTTTTGCTGTTCTCGTCGCTGTCGTCATTGCTTAACCTTCCTAATATCATTAGGCCAAAACCAGACGAAGATTACCTGGCACTGAGGAAAAGGATGATAATACTACACTTCACTTTACTTCTTCAATACTGTAGTTTATTGTTGCCGAGGATTTTCATAGAGCTTTCTTACACGTACTTAGATGATGTACATGTCAATTTGGTGCTTATAATGTTGGTGTTAAGCATTATGCCAATGCCTGACAAGTATAAACTGAAGCAAGTCTTTTAAAATGATATGTACTTCTTTGGTATGTTAATCCAAGAAGTCCCCAAAAATTAATGAAAACTAATGATTTGATACTTCATGAAGGTAGCTTCTTGAGCCTTGAGTTGATTCCTGTGCTACACGTTATTTACAAACACAACCTGTCAGCATTGAAGCATATGGGCTAATCCAAGTGTAGCTAGTAATTACAGTCTTATTAGCGACATTTTTATCTTAGTCCTTGAGCAACCTTTAAGAGCCAACAAAATGTACGAGAGCTTATTACCAGTAGTACCATACCAAGGCCTGTAACTTGACACAGATGATCCCAAAAAAGTAAAGAGGTCTCATGACATTCTCATGCCTAACCTCATGTGCATAATAAACCCATTTGCCTCATTAAAAATAAATCAAAGCACTATGTCATGGATTTCATTATTAACCAAATTAGAATGTAATTCACAGAAATTAGGGTGAATATTTGTTTAACATTATGAAACATTTAGGAGAAATAAAGAAGCATTGAAGCACCATTATTTTTTCTTTAACTCCATAATAATTATGACATCTATAACGAAACATACACACGACTATTAAATATCGTTGAGGATACATGTACATGTGTAAGTGTGCACTTTGTAATGAAACATTATAACTCCATTTCACATAAAAAACTACCACAAAACGTATTTACTCCAAAATAGTATTCTTACAGTTATCCAGATCCTGGCCTCTTCCCTTTCTTTTGTAGCTGGATCTATCTTAGTGGCAAGTCCAAGGCCTGTCAATAGCAACATCACAAGTGAAAATAAGGTAGAAAATTTCTTAGTAGTACAAGAAAACCAGACACACAATATCACCGGGTTATTGTGACTAGCCTTGGAAATTCATCATTAAACCTAGTTTCTGGTCTTGAGCTGTGACAATTTGGAAAAATTAAAAGTCATAAACTAGGTGTGATAGAATAAAGAAAGTTTGAACATGTCAATGTACTTGTACGATGTACATATCTATATATAAAACTGATGTGTTGCATGGTAAATTGTTAACAAGGTTAGTGCCTTGTTACAACTTGCAGAGCTCCAAGGGCCTCTTCACATGAGACCACTTGATCAAGCTGGCCCGCTTACCGTGACAAATTTCACCTTGGGTTCATATGAGAAATTTCAGTTTGGTTTAAGAGGTGAGAAAGGCCAAAGATCCTGGGGATAAGTTGTGGTATGAAATTTGAGAAACCAAATTTGAGCCCATCATAGCTTTTACCACCGTAGTTAAATGGGACGTTTGCAATGTGAAAAATACAACAAGCAAAGCAACACAATGCCATCCACGAATGCACTGTTGTGAAGAATTCAACTTGCTTTCATCCCATTAACCAGGCTCAAGTGTTCATATGGCAAAATTTTCCATCCCGGTTGGAAAACGAGATCTCGAGAACCAAGCCAACACGCCCTCTCATATGAACACATCAAAAATTTTACAAACGAATCAGTGGTAAGGCGAGATCTCGGAAAACAGGCTGTTAGGTAATTAGTAATAATACTGATAGCTGCATGATTCTCATCCTTACTTATTGTTGTGAGTATTCCCTTTCAAGAATTTCACAGCAAATAGCCAACTAACAAATAACAAAATAATGATCTGTGTCTCACAAAATTGAGAATGTAGAATCTCAGAGGTATATCAATGCAGGTGAAATGAAGAATGTTTCAAGAACCCGAAATAATAAATTAACTTAAATTATTTTACCTTCTTTTGAGTAAGCTTTTGTTTTTGTCTCCCTCTCAACAACTTTAAACCTCTCCATTTGCTACAAGACAAAACATTTAACAAGCAAACAATGAGACAGTATCCACTTTACAGCAATACAATCCACAAGATTTTGTAGGTAATACAATTAAACAATCAGTTACATACTGAGTTAATTCTCGCCAAAGTAGTACAATCTATAAACATCAAGTGTCACAAAATGGCGCCGATTAATGAACGCCATTTTGAATTAAGTTTAACAACAAGATTACATTATGAAATTATACCGTCTCGATGAGCTTTCTATTATCTTGGAGAGTTCGCTTATCCTTGATATCGTTCGAGGCCATCCATGTCTTAATTTGGTCTCGCAACCGCTGCAAAAGAGGCGAAAATAATTTGAAATTAAAAACTGGCGGCAAACCGAAAGTGGATATGATATAGGGTGCACAACTGTATATCAAGTAAGCTTATTATTGATATAGATTGCAATTGTACAAGAGGAAAGAAGAAACAAACCTGCAATTTCTTGATTTCTTTCTTAAGATCTGCCTCGTATTTTTCCTTCTGATTCGCATTTGTAGCATTGTGAACCTGGAAGAATGCGTAAAAATTTGGAATAATCTAAAGTGAGTTAAACGTGCTGAGAATAGCATCACAATCACGTTTGTTAGATTTTATGACTTGTAACTTTGCCAGATACCTTTTGCCAGATATCTTCAAAAGTTTCTACGCCTTCTGTGACTTTCTTAAGGCAACGGTCAATTTCCCCTAAAAATAGACAAGAAGTGAAGTAAAAGGAAGTTCGCGAAAAACTCTGCAGATCAAAAATAGCCATGAAAGCCAGTACACTTCGTCTCATACCTTGAAGCTTCCGTTTATCCGCCATTACCTCGGTGCGTCGCTTTCAAGAAGCATAATTCTGTAGCTAGAGGAACTACTAAATCATTCAGCGTTCAAATTCCGCAATAATGAAGAGAAATAGTGGATATTAATTCAAGTACAGAAAGAAATATCTCCCTAAATGAGGCTTTTCACCTCGCCATAAAGACTACTATGGGATGACTCTTGAAAAAGCGCATGAGCGAGGTACCCATTTGACATGCGCAAAAGCGTGTTTTTCCTGGAGTTCGAATGTAGCAGCGAATTTGAAAACATCACGTTACTTAACGCTAAACAGCCGACAATTTCTTTTATTCGATCACTGTTTATTTATTTCAATCCGGATTATTCTTTTGCGTATCGAAAAATAGCTTTCATTTCTGTTCTCGACAACTATTTTGACAACAAGAATAGACTCGTAGCTTGACCCAGGCCCTTTACACGCGGTTCAGCGCGTTGCCTGTCACTTTATATACATATTCACTCACGAAACTCTTTGATGGAGTTTCTTTCTTCCCAATGTTATCTTCATTCTCTTTATTTGCATGGAATTGACTTGTATAAATGTTTAACTCGCGAGGACGGCCCTACTGGCCAGTACTGGGAATGGTTTTAATGTTTACTTGTTTTAATATTTGCATATTTTAATTTATACAGACTGACTTTTTTAATTTCCGTGTACAAGAGAGAGGGCAGGCGCTGCTTACGTCAATTATAAGAACGTGCAGCCAAAGTTATTATCAAACCTGGCGACCTATACTAAAGAAGAGAATGTTAAAACTGACGCTCTTTTCTAAAACCCAAAAAACACGCAGAAGTATGTAAAAAGGTAGGGAAATCTGTCATTTGGGTCTGTGAAAGGGCCCAAAGGGCAGAACAGATGAATTTTATGGCTTTATAAAGTCGGGAAAACGTTCTATATTTGTGATTAATTCCTATTTAAATGGCAGTGCATTTACAGCAGTTAAAAGGGATGCAAAGTTCTAAACGGGGTACATGAAAGAGGTACCATTTGTCATTGAGGGGTATACGAAAGGGCTTACTCGTGAAAAATGGAATATAAACCGTAAGGGGTTGGATCTTCGGGCGAAGCCTCCCCGTATAAAAATTTGTTGAGTACCCGCCAGGGAATGTTCTATACTTTGCAAAACTAATCTTTTGAGGTCTCCTTCAATCTCAATATTAGTTTACAGAATGCAAAACAGTGGTTCAAACTATCGTGCCAGAGTTCCGGCTTAACCTGTGATACCGTAAATCCTTTATTAAGCCCCTCTCGAATAGTATAGGGGAAGAAAGTTTTTAAGCCCGCCTCTTCCTCCCCCGTTATTCTTCACGAAATTAATAAATGACAGCTGATTGTATTAACTAATCAGGACTGTAATTCTTCATGGGGACTGATCCAGTATGGTTTATCTGACAGATTCACGTGCTGGAAGTTTTTTGGATTTGTCTTTTATCTGAAGCTGCATGACCTCCAACTTCATGGGCTTGAGCTTTTTTACTTTAATTTTTCTAGTTCATTATGGAGAATTGATACTTGATACGAATTGTCTTCCGGTTGTTTGAAAAGGCAGTCTATAAGCGCCTTGCTTCTGTAAATTGAATAAGCCATTCCTCTCAATTTAAAGCCCCTTCTCAAAGATGGTTGCAGTAATTAAATAAGCCCCTCCCCCAGCTGAGGGACATAATAGAGGATTTACGGTATATTCACTCGAAAAAGCCTTAACCCTTTAAGCCCCAATATCCACATACAAATTCTCCAAACTGATCTCTATACATTTTCTTAAAGAATAAGTTGAGAGAATTTGATGAAAGATCAAAGCATTTTCTCTTAGGTGATCAATTTATCAATTCTCATAACCAAATCTCACGACAATCAATGGATATGGTTAGGAGAAAATTGATGTTGGACACCATTGGGACTTAAAGGGTTAACACAAAACTTCCGTTTAAGAAGAAACCGGGCCATCGTTCAAAGAAGCTTCACCATTTAGTAAGAGTTTACAAACAAACAATTTCAGGATGAGCGCCGGAAAAACCAGGGTGGCAAAGGGGGGTGCCTATCACGCATCATGCCCATTTTCTTGAGCTATCACGCATCACGGAAAAAATAAAATAGAATATTAACTACATAAACAAGAATCCTATTCTCATTTGATTTGAGGTAATCAGAGGTCGAAGAACGAGCAAAAAGAGCAAGAAGTTGGTGTCATAACCATCTATTTTTAATGTCTCTGCTTCTAGTTTCAAATGATATCAACCATCACAGAAATTTCAAAGGAAAATCATGCGTCACGCGTTAATCACGCATGACGATGCTATGCCCAATCACGCATCACGCTGATCATTTGGGTCTTATCACGCGTCACGGAAAATTTCTTTGCCACCCTGCTTTCAGTACGCGGAGAGTCATCGCTGCATAGCTTCCTCATAAGTGATAGAAACTCGTGAATACAAGAGACAAAGTTTTCAACATGTCCTAATATATAAATTTATCTTAAATTGAATTGCACCGTTACGTTACAACCGTTTACTTAAAGTGTTACGCTAGCGTTTTTTTTCGCTCATAAAGTTTAAAACAAAATGGATTGTACGTGTTATAAGGTTTACGTTCTCCACATGAATTGTACCCAATAAAACCAGTGTCAACATCAAGGGTACGTTGCTTAGTACCAACAAGTTTTCTGTTTTTAACCCGGTACTTTAAATTCCTTCTCGTGCGGACGATGTCAGAAGTATTTTACTTGGTCCTTTTGCCAAGTTAGGATTCCGCTAGCCTGCTGCAGGCGTTCAGATCGTTGGCACGGCGCAAAATGATTGAAGAAGAAAAAAAGCGTGGGGGCGGGGTAGAGGATAAAGCGAAGGAACCTTCTCTCTCCCCCTCCAAATTTTTTCCCGCCCTTTATCTTCGCGCCGCCTCGAACAGGCCAGGATTCCGCGCACGACTGGGTCGGTGTTGTGTCGAATTGCACCATGGGACGGTTTTGACCCAGGTCCCTCACTTCCTTCACAACCTTCGATTTGGCCAATAGAAAAAAAAGATGGCGTCCCATAAAACAATCCCATAATTACAATTCGACAGAATCTAAACCCATATCGCACGCACAAACTTCACCAAAACCAAAGGCTATTGTAAGGTGACTGGCAAGTACGTAGTGATTTTACAATGGACATGACCGTCTCCATAACCGCCCTATTTTAAAAACCTAAAAGAGTACTTATAAGAAACGCTCAGTTTTAGCATCTATCTCGACAAAATCTTCTCCAAATCCTCGACAGTATTTACTGGAAGTGTGCACGTGTAGTTCTCGCAAACATACGCCGTAGCTTTGCCACCTTTCCGCTCCAGTGTTTTAAAGACAGACAGTTTGGAGGCAAGGAAGTTGTCTTGGTTACCATCCCATAGCATGAGAACTTTGTTGGGTATGTAATGAGAGTGAACGCACTTCAGAAGTGCTTTCGTATCCTCGGAATCTCGATCGCCAGCGATTATTATCTGAAAATAAACAATAACCAGCTATTATGTCAAGGCTGAGAACGATTTATACGAGTCGGATTCATAATTTCATTTCATCACATTCCTTTGTATAATAGCAACAGGACTGAGTGGAGTCCAATTCGATCTGGTGAACATCGAGTATGATTAAACCGCGGACAAAAATTGACGACACGATGATCCCAAATAATCGTAATTATAACAACACCTGAGAAAAACATTGTCGTAGTTGTTATGCTCTATGAAAGGACGGGTCGGAGCTATTACCAGAAAGAAGAAAAACCAGCTAAACATCCAAATCGTTATTTTTTTCGCCGCCCTAATTACTTTTTTGAAGTTTGCGGGAAATCTGGTGGCCCTTAGGCCTCGCTTTCATTCTTACGTTGTAAGTGTGTATTAAGCTCCCTATTCTCTCGCGTGAGAGCGAGTGGGGCGAACGTGCGGCTGAATTTAATTTCCCGCCAAAATCAAAGTCACTTGACGACGCAGTCCCGTGAGGTCGCAAGAACGGACCTTATAAAAGAAGCTTAAGAAACTAAGACGGCGACGGCAAGAGGAACGACAAAAAGCAATAGGTTTAACGAACAAAACAGCAATCTCTTTTAGTCGCTCTTGATAAAGGATAAGCCCCATAAAGGTCATCTTTTCAATCGCTTTACGCCGACCAATCTACTATATCAACTCAGATGACCCAAGGAAATTTCGGTGATGTTTATACCAGCCTGCGAACAAGTTCCCCGGGGGCCTTTAGGGACCGGGACAGCAGAATCCCCCTTTTGTCCCCCCCCGGTTCCCAGAGTTCCCCAGAGAAATTGCTCGCAGGCTATATTACTGGCTGTCACGGCTGTACATGTGAGTGGAGCGTTTCGCAATGGAATCGGACAAAGACAAAGGTGAAAAGCTCTTTGGGGGCCTTTTAGGCAGGGGATGGGAGAAATATCTCCTCTTGTTCTCCCAGGTTCCCAGAGCCCCCCAGAGAAACTGCTCGCAGGGTATGTTACAGGCCGTGAAGACTCTAAACGCGAGTGGAAATTTGTACTGGAATTAGACAAACACAAACAAAGGTGGAGAAATTTCACCTGCTGCGTAGGTTGAAGGTACATTATGTAGTTTGACACCAGCTCGGGAAGAGCAAGAGGAATTTTTGATAGCATAGTAACAGATGCTTTGATGATCTCCCCCGCTCTCTCAAGATATTTCTTGTCATCAGTAAAGCTACACAGGCGGACCAAGTTTCCTACGGACGACGAGTTTGCACTTGGTTCAGCACCATCTTGGGCTACAAGGCAAAAAGAGAGTGATATTTTTAAGCCTGTCATTACCAAGGCCAGTCGAAGAGGAAACCTATAATGTAAATCTATCTGTTCAAGTGTTAGGTTTTGCCTTGAAGAATATTTTTATCCGTTGAGAGCCGTCAAATCAAACCTCAAGTCATCAATAGCAAGCAAACCAGTTTTTGAGCGATGCACATCAACAGGAAGTGAGGCTTTTCACTTTTTAATATGACTTGACGTTACCAAATTTGTGTTGCTAAACGTCTTTATCCTTACAGAGACGACTTTCCCCAAATTTAGGCCATGCCACTGCAGGGAAACCTGAAGTACCCAGAAAAAAACCTCTTGAAGCAGGGGAGAGAACCAATAACAAACTCAACCTACATTTGGCGTCAACGCGGGGTTTGAACCCAGGCCACAATGGTGGGAGGCGAGCGCTCTCACCACTGTATCACCCTTGCTCTCCCATACCTGTATTCGACGTTTCAAAAAATTGAGGACCCACATCTGATCAGAGAGAAAAACTAGACATCCTTGAACCATTCACTATAAAAAACCATCCCAAACCTTCTTTCATCTTGACCAAAATAGACGGGTCGCCAGGTGTTACCATAAAATAGCCTATTCCTTCTTTGTCCCAAAGCAGTTCATCTAGTTTATTTTGCAGCTGCACGGCCCATTCTAACCATTGTTCGTCCAGTGATGCCTCATACAGGTCCAGCAATCCCCGGATCATGAACACATAGTCATCTGCAAACCCAAAAATGGGCGTGTCTCTAAAGAGGGAAAATAAAACACGAGCTTTGAAATCAAAATGCTCGTTGAAGTCCAAAGCCTGTGTTCTAAGGCGACTTGTAAGTTAATCGACGCCACAACTGATTTCACCGCGAACTGACGTCTGAGGATCGAGCGCACAAATTCCACTCTGATGACGTGTCACTACTTAGATCTAGGAAGTGCTTTTGATTATTCTGGTCGTGCGGCGAGGAAAATTGTTTCAACGAATCAGATGCACTGCTCAGATCCTGGAAGTGACACGTACTATGCTTCAAGCGCTCAAAATCATGAACAACAACGGAAATTATCAAAAGCCCACGTGACTTACATCTGCATCACTTCCCCGTTGTCCCCTTGGTAACAACTGCGTAAGAGTTTCCCTGACTTCTCGTCAAACAAGTGTTTCCTCGTAAACTCTGCCGCTTTAATCGCTCTTTTTGTATACACCTCTTCACCAAGGACTTGTCCACCACGGGCAAGACCAGAAATCATGAGACCTGGAACATAAAATGATAAATCCTTTACACTGTGCAAAAATTGTATTCGGATTCATGCGGTTGACGCCTAAGATCCTGCTCACACGAAGCCGGACATATTTAAAACCCCACATTTTTTCCGTATTCGTGTGGACTGGGCCTAAGACACAAGCTTGGTCTTGTGCCGGGGGGGGGGGGGGGATTCTCCATATGATGGCCTATACGGGGAGGCTCCGCCCGGCAGGGGTATCTTTTTCAGGCTTGAGGTATATGAAAGGGTTGCGATTTCACTAGTTGAAGTATATAAAAGGGTAGGGAAATCTGTCATTTGGGTCTGTGAAAGGGCCCAGAAGGGCTAACAGATGAATTTTATGTCTTTATAAAGTCGAGAAAACGTTCTACTTTTGTGATTGATTCCTAGGTATGTTAAAGGGGTACCATTTGTCAATAGAGGGTATACGAAAGGGCTTTTTCGTGGAAAATGGTATATAAAAGGATAAGGGGTTGGACCTCGGGGCGGAACCTCCCTTTACAACATTTGTTGAGTCCCCCCGGGGTCTTGTGCTATGCTTTTTGACATTATGTTGTCTTAGCTGCTATATCTAACCTTCCGGACTGCTAATCACCTAAGGGTCTTCTACTATAAATGCTAATTCGTCTAATCAAATCAAAGATCAGAAAGACTCGGACAGTTCAACTCAATGCTGTGCGACTTTTGCGTGAAAACGAGAGGTGAATTGGCGTCATAGAAGAACAGAAAAATGGTCGCTAAACTCGAAATTATTGACAATGATTTTTAAAAAGAAAGCCTCTCAGGTTTGATCACCGTAACAAGAAAATTAGTTGTTCTGGAATGTATTATTAAAAAATGCTTGACTGCCAAGTTGTTTCCAATCAAATATCTAAAGTCATTGACGTTTTATTTTGTTGCCACACCTCTGTATTAGAGATCGTTAGATTCTACGACGAGTACGACAACGAGTACCAGATTTTCTTAATACTAAGTACTGCACGCGCGTGAACCAGCGTCATTTTGGCAGGAAAACGTGGTAGCCGTACGTCATTCTACTGAGAGTTTTAGCGAGAATATCGTAGTAACGGAAACAAGTTATCAAATGTTAACAGTTTTGATATGTTGCGACCGGGAGAGGGCTTAGCCTCCACAAATAAAGATAACAGTGCTAACTTTTCTGGTGAAAAAAAGTATTAAGAAGCATTCCTTGGTGACTATTTTTTGACAATACGCGAAAAAACTTTACATCAAATCTCGTACTTGTAATCGTTTCTATTGGCTAAAAGTCTTGCACCACCTTATTAGCCAGTGGGAAGCAAACCCTCAGCAACCGTGAGTTTGTCACTAGGGACTGACGGATTATGCTCGCAAATTCGAGTATTATGCTTTTCGGTGTTTCCCGTGAAACCACAGTATCAAGATCAAAATTATGCCCGGCTGGAGGTATTATGCTCCTAATTACGCAAAATTAAAATGACACGTTTCCCTCCTGTGGTTATAAAATCAGTAATACATTCCTGCGCAGTCTTGTTGCATACTGTTTGTTAAGGAAAACATGCAAGGGCCTTGACAGCCGGGGATACATAGGTAACCAGGCCTTTAATTATCTCAAAATGCTCTAGGCACGAGTCTTCACGGGTCGTGTAAGACGGCAAGGTATTCAGTTCCTAAAATGTCTGCCTTTTTATCAACTTTATAGATTCTACCAGCGTTGATTGAAAAAAAGAGCATACAGATTTCAGAACTACACTACAATTTGATTTCATTTGATTTGGCTATGCTTAAAATAGGAATATTATGGCGGCATTATGCCTGATACTCCTGATATGGTGCTACAAAAATTATGCCTGCATGATCCGTCGGACGCCACTTTCCCGCGCTTTGTGCTGTCATGAATTTCTTTCAGATCTGATTGGTTCATTTGACTATCTGCGCAAATTGTGATTGGTCAGAAATCATACCTTAAATTTTGGTTTTTACGAAGCTTTCACAAGAGAAGCTTTCACAAAAGAAAATACAACAAAATCTGTTTTTGCAAAATCGTTATATTTAAATAGCACTATGCAAAAGCTCGGCCAAAGTGGTTTCATTTGAAAAGTAACATCATCAGACTACGAGTAGTCCCCATTTTCCCCGCCGCGTCTCGACTTTCTCGCGTGGGGTGATTTTCACGCGCGCTCGCGTTTCCCTCGCTTTACTATCCATGAGGAAAAATGGGCACTACTCGTAGTCAATAACATCATAGGATTTCGTCCACAGATGCAAAAGTTAGTATGACAAATCATCTCGCCATAACTTGAGTTGTCTAGGAATGAAAAGGTTAAGTCCTGTAGTAAAAAACAAACAAAAAAACAAATGCGCGCTCACCATTCCAGGCAGTGATCATTTTTGTGTCTAGATGAGGCGGTGGTCTGTTTTTTCGTTCCTCAAACAGGATTTCTCGAGCTCGCGCTAGTTGCTCTTTAAGTACGGCTTCATCCACGTCCACTAACCGAGCTGTGTCCTGCAAGCTTCCCCTTACAATTAGGACGTTCTTTCCTCGAAGTTCTCTATGAGGGTCCTGGGAAATTAAAACCCAAAAGTTTAACAAACAACGACGACTACGGGAGAGTCAAAAAAAGCAAGAGGTTTGAAAAGAAAAACAACAACTCCACGTGTGCATGACACTCTTTGGTACATTTCATTGCCGTCACTGCACGACTACAACTTGAAATTTCCGCCTAATTTCACATTTTACGTTGGAAGTCAAAACGCGTATACGAACACGATTTTTTTTCGCTTTCATTCTAAACTTGGGTGCGGTCCAAGAATTCAACTCCAGGGAAAACTACCTACATTTGCCATAAATGTAAGACAGTTCCCAGTGACGTTTTCACTGCCGTCGGCGTCGTCCTAAAAAAAGCCCCCCAATAACTTCCCTCAGGAACAGACTTTAAAATTGTCATGAAAAATTATTTTTAGATTTTCGTTAATCATCCTCCGAGTCGTCGGCTGAGCTCTACATTACCTCAAGGATTAAAACCTTCCTCTTACTGGGGAGGGAAACATAACACTCGTCATATAAATTCATGGAGAGAAGTTTCAGTCTACCGTAAACTTCCGTAAATTTCCTGGGCTTATTCATCTTCGTAAGGCGATGTAGGAGGGCCTTATATCCGGAGGACTTATAACCGGAACAAAAAAACGTTTCAAAACGAGCGACGTTAACAGTGCCGATCAAAATACTTTTAGAATTTACTTGCTTTTCAAGGGACTGTTTACAAGAAGCTAGGAAGATCCTAGAAGGTGGTTGGCTTTACATGCAGTTATTTCGGTCCTTGAGGTGTCCAAGTAGAGAATGTTCGAGAAGGAATTAAAAATGGCGAGCGACAAAAACAAAAATGCAATTTGGGCCCGTAAATAACTACCTTCCAGCAGAATTATCAGAATAATCTGCTCGTGGTAACGCTTAATGGTCGGCCTTTATTGCCGCAAGCAGCCACTGAACGACCCGCCGCCAGATATAGTCTCCTTACCTGATGAGGTTTAACATTTCCGTCACTCTCCACTCCATAATGTTTCAAAAACGGGTAGGAAACAAGTATGTTTTCGCCGGATTTGCTTGTAGTGCGTTCCTCTTGCAGCAGTTGTCGTATCTCTTGTTCTTCCCACACGCAGAAAGCGCCTTCCTTCTTGTGAGTGTCAGTTTTACTTGGCAAGGAATCTGCATCTTCAGCGGAGAAAAAACCACCGAGCTACAGAAGACAAAGAGGGAACGATTGTAATATCAACATACATTTACGGTTCTAGTAGAGCGGCCCAGTGCCCATGACCAGCAGCGAGCAAGTTCCATGTACTCGCGTCACGGCGTTTCCACTTTCCAGCTCATTTTTAGAACGATTTTGGCGCGAATTCTTAACATCTTTAAAGCTGCTCTTAATCAGTGAACGAAACCTACAGACTTAAAAATGGTATTAGAGAGCTTAAGTAACAACGGCGGCGACGGCTATACTAAAACGTCAGTCAAAAAGTGTGTTCTCGCTGCTTTAAACTTTATCACGCTTATTCCATCTCGTTCTATTCATCAGATGTTGGCGAATTTTTCTGGAGTTGAATTCTAAAGTACTGAATTAAAATTCAGGGGAAGAAAAAGAGGGTCGTTGTCTTGTGTTAACGCCTTCACAAAACGTGAAATTAGGTAGTTTCACGTCGTAGTCGTGCAAAGACGGCAAAGAAATGTACAAAAAAGCGTGATGCACGTGCAAAGTAATTAAGTTGTTGTTTTGCCAAGTTAAACCTATTGCTTTTTTACCGTTTTCGTTGCCATCGCCGTTGCTTCAGCTCTCTATTTTTGACCCTCTAATGACGTTCAGAGTTTTCTTTCTGATATCGTATACTTTCAACCAGACAGCACTCCAACCAACGCCTTCAGCCTTTAACTCCAAGTCTCCAGCACAGGAGCACGGGGAGTGGGGAGAGAGTTCCCCACCCCTTACCCGAAAGGCTACTCGCAGGCTACCGGGTCTCTAAGTCTCTTTAAGACTCGGAAGCAATGTCATAGGTACATGTAGGTTGAATATAATCGTCCGCGTGAGTGTAGGATATCCTTCTTGTCATTTTGCTACTTTTATATTTGCCAGACAGCAAGACACCGGAGGGAAATATAGTAAACAATTATAAACAGAGTTCGTACTCTTTTGAGTTCTTAAAATTCCATGACTTTCCATGACTTTTTCCATGACCTTTTCAAGTTTTCTACGACCTTAGGTTTGAATGTCATTCTTGAGAGTTTTCAAAACTTCCTTGTTCTACCCCGTTTGTTAAACTTCAACTTCAACAGAAACAAACTCTCGTATCCACCAAAATGCGTGCTGTTCGCGCTGTTTAATTACTCCTCTTTATCTCACATTGTCAATGTTTTGTCATATGCAGTAACTGATCTACCAAACAAATCCTTAATTTTCCATGATTTTCAAGGACCGAAAATTGAATTCCATGACTTTCCAGGCCATGAAAATGAAATTCTTAAATTCCAAGACTCTCCAGGTTTTCCCTGACCTTTACGAACCCGGTAAAAACTGTAGGGAAAGAGCATAATCATCTGCAAACAACGTAAAAAAATCAACAAGTTCTAGTTCTCTCTTGGTTTGTTGTTGTTGTCCTTGTTGTCTTTTTTTCTCTAAACTCTAAAAAGGGAATAAGAGATAACCTGTTCTTACATGTGGGTTGTTTAAACAGTACCTTGTGACTTAAATCCCTCATCACGTACAGCAAGATATCTCTTGTCGTTTCTGCAAGATTCTCCTTCTTGCTAACCTGTAAATGGAAGGAAAATTTAATATGATTAGCCAAAGACACAGAAGGACAATGAATTTTATTTGAGTGTCAAGGTATTTAGCACGAAAGTACTAATTGGGGACACTATTTTTACAACTTCTACTGGATATGGGACCGCCATTTTACGTGGTCATCCGAGCCACGCGAAGGACCAACCGCTTGCAGTGCAAAGACAATACCTTCATTTCTCAGTTATTTTAAGACCCTGAGTATTGGTCTGGTCCCGGGAATCGAATCTGCGACCTCCCGCTGCACTGCCACGGTAATCCTGCCTACTGTACACTCATATTGTACCCACTAGGTAATTATAAAACACTCGTTTAGCAATTAATGAATACTATTAAACTTAACAAGCATTGCTAAATGAACCCAGCTTTTAAGCATAGTGGGGAGGATTATTGGTATTTTGGATGGGTGCAATCACCAAATGATGTAATTAGTAAACAAAAAAGATTGAAAAGACACTAAACAATACCCATACCACAACACAAAAGCGAACTGAAACACCAAAAGACATAAAAAATGAAATTGGTGATTTTTCATGAAAACTATTTACTTTTAAGAATCTTTGTCCATAATGTTTACTTCACCTGATAACCATCAGCATAAAGCACTGCAAGCTGTGCTTGATCATACAACATCTTCTCAAAATGAGGAACATGCCAAAAGCGATCTGTGGAATATCTGTGAAAACCCTGAAAGACCCATGGGCAACAGTGAAGGTATTTTTCTACCAACATGTAACAAATGAACCCACTGCTCCTCCTACATTTTAGCTCAGCAGGTAAGGGACTATTCATGACCAGTAAGGCCAAAAATATGTCCCAGAGGAACACTGTCCTGGCGGAGGAGTGGGGGGATTTCGCATTCATGGAGGTATTTATATTCGAGCATCCTATCAACCAATTGACCGAAAAGTATTTTCTACACCTCAAAACAAAGAATTTTTCGAACAAAGTCTGCCTTTGCCACAAGGGCCAATTTAGTAACAAAAGTTGTGGAAGTCGTGAACTTTCCCTGCTGGGTGAGAAAGTCTAGAATCAGGACAGAAGCCCACAAAAAATTGTTAGCCTGCAGTGTTTCGAAAGGTACTGGCAGTCAAAATTTAAATAAAGTAATCAGAGAGAATAGCTGTGTATACGTTTTGTTTTTCTGTATTTACCTCCTTTTCTTGTGAGGATCGGCTTGGATCACAACTTGCGTATTTTTGAAACAGCTTATTTAATTTTAATAACACTTCAAGCAGTTGCAGCCAGTAAGAAGTGTTGCTTCAAGAGGTAAATTTTATTGGTTACTGCCTGGTAAGGTGAACACTGTGAACCATACATGATTTTGTTGTTATGATGGGGAGGTAATGAAAACAGGAAAGATAGCCAATACTAGAGAGGGGGCGGGGGCTTAGTTATTTATTGAAACACAGTACAACATAGCAAAGAAACATGAAGAAGCATATGGGAGTGAAGGTACTCTAATACTGTTTTGGACGAGGTGAATGTCTGTCCAGCAGGGAGATTTTGATCCTTTGTGATAAATTTTATAAGTAATGTATTTTACGCAGTCTTGAAGCAGGGAGGACTGAGGTGGGGTATCAAACAGAACTCAAGCATCATGATTTGCAAATATAAAATGAATAAAGCTTTCCATCACAGGTGAACTTTCCAACTTTCCAACTTTTCAAGTTTATAATTACCTTTTTTTTTTAATTTAGCACCAACCACCTCTTTCTCCAACCAACTGAAAATGGCTGACAAATAAATCCCATGGGATATCACAATACAAGAAACAGTTTTCAAGCTCTATGGTTGGTTGTTTGCTTCACAAATGAAAGAACCACTTGTACATGATTACAATGATTGTATTTTATCATATTTTGTATGATTGGATCTACAGTTGAACCTGTCTACAATGGCCACCTTGGGGACAGAAGGAAGTGGCCACTGTAAAGAGGTGGCCATTGCAGAGAGGTTTAAACAAGAGTGAATGTATGGACTGTCTGCCACAGAAAATGGCCATTGTAGAGGGGTGGCCCTTAGTGCAGGTTCGACTGTACATGTATATGATTCTGAGAAATTGCCCAGGCACCTACCCCTCCCCCTTCACTGAACTTAACACTAACCTCTCATTTAGGGCAAAATGTTGAGTTAGGGGAGGGCTAGGTACGGTGTACTTAGGCAAGTTTTCCAGAATCACACTGACGCTTGTTGTCAAAAATATTTTCTAACCTGTCCAACATGATCATGTATTCCACCCTTCTCCATGAACTCTAATGTCTTGATTACCATGTTTAGAGCTTTCTTTCCATCATCAGAGCCAGCTTTGTAACAAGAGTACCTCAACAGAAAGTTAAAATTTGCTGCAAAGAAATAAAAAAAGAAACAGATGTATCTCACTTTCCAGAGTTGTTTTTCATGTAACCAATACACTAACAGAAAGAAAAATATTTTGTCATACTATCTGTATGCTCGAAAATGGTGTTTGCAGTTCAGTTCAATGGGCTGCAAACTTGCTTTAGTTACTTTCTAACAATGATAACATTAATACCAAAATTCACTTACTTGCTTGTGGAAATTTTGGTGCTCCTCCATACCCACCATACTCATCATCAAAACTTGTACACATGTCATTAAACAACTTGTCGATACACTCTGTACTTGGCATATCACCAGCCTCATTTGGTTTGTGCATTTCCTGCGTGTGTTGTTGAATGGCTTTAAGGATTACATTTGCCTGCATATTTAGCTTCTCTTTGTTTTCTTCCCACTAAAAAACCATGAAAATAACATTGAATAGTTAGGGATTAGAGATATAAATTGTCCTGACCAATAAATGAGCACAAAAAAATTTAATAGACAATGTACTCTGGCTCCAGAGCCAAAGCTAGAACTAAGTTTAATGGATCTTAACTAAAAATTATATCAAAACAAGTTGTCTAACCTGCTTAGAAATATGGTTAAGAATTGTTTTAAATCCTGGTTGCCCAGCCTTGTCCTCAGGACGAAAGTAAGTTGCTCCAACGAAGGGTTTTAACTCAGGAGTCAGCCACACACTCATGGGCCAACCACCTCCTCCTGTCATGGCCTGTAAAGCAAATAAATAAATAAATAAATAAATAGGTAAACAAGCAAATAACCACCTTTGAAAAGCTTTACTTTAGTTTTTTACTACTGTTGGTGATGCAATGTTAGGGCAAAATCTAACAAGTAACAAGGCCTTGAAACAGCGACATGAGACTCAATGAAATAAAACAAACACACAGATGGTTGATGCCGACAGCAACATGGCCATTCTACTTTAAACCCAAAAAATCCCTATTGAAATTCTCATCTACCCACGATAAGAGTTGTATGTGATAAGGCTCTGAGTAAATCTTGATGTAATGTTAAAGTCTGTTCGTGTTTGCAAGCAAATACAACTTAAATGTGACTTAGACGAAGTGTATCTTGCAGTTCATCAGAAATCACTCACTGCTGCTAAAACCAAAACATCATCTATGGTAGACATACAGATGTTTTCTAGAACAACTTCTTAAAAGTAAATTAAAGTATATTTCATTACTGATACCTGAATGTAAGTCATGTATACTTTGTCCACATCAGGCCTTTCCTCTCGATCAACTTTTACAGACACAAATTTTTCATTGAGAATTTTTGCGATCTCTTCACTCTCAAAGGACTCACGCTCCATTACGTGACACCAGTGGCAGGTCGAGTAACCCACTACGGAAGAAGCAAACAAAAATTTTCTTTCGGAAACTAAAAGTTCAGCACTCAAAATAAATCATTTTTGGCTCTTTATACAATCAGCTACAGAGTGTAAACCTTAGTTGTGAACTAACCAGAGAGAAAAATAGGTTTGTTTTCCTGTTTTGCTTTTTCAAAAGCTTCATCTCCCCAAGGAAACCTGCAGAAAAGCCAATAAGCGAGGTTATTAACATAAAGTTATGGCGTAAACAAGGTTAGTGTGTATCCAGGGGTTCGCTTTAAGGCCAGAAGCAGTCATTTGCCATGTTAGGCCCTTGTACTTTTTTTACAAAAATATAACATTTTTTTAAGTGAAAAAAATTGCTCATACCTGCTTGTTTGATCAAAGAATATAGTACTTTAATTTTTTTCGCTGAAAGTCCAGTATCATAGGTTGTGTTCAAATAGCTAATGAACCAGTTTGCCAAAAGTGTGGAACTGGGGCTACTTCCCAAACTAGTGATTTTATACATCAGAGCTGGTGGTTTGTAATGGATACTTTCATTGATACTCTTAATAGTATTATTGAACTATTAAGAGTATCAGTGAAAGTATCCATTACAAATCACCAGCTCTACTAATAATAAATTATTAATTATTAATAATTTATTATTATAACTTAATATCTATTATAAGTTGAAAATAGGGCTCTATCAGAAGTAAGAATTTCTCCTCCAGACTCCCCTCCACCACCACAACACCCCCAACCCACCCCACCCTCTGCCTCCTCACTTTACACTTTTCTTCCCAAATTGCACCTTTTTTAAAAAGTACAGGTCAGTCTTTGGGTGAATTACCTGATGGCACAATTTCAAAGAGATGAATGTTTCATTGCTAAATTCAAAGCTAGGTGGAATTTTCCAGATGTAGTTAATTGATAAAAATCAATATTGGAAATCAATTGACATCATCGGATTATTACATATTGATTGATAGCAGAAATCGATAGAAAAAATAATTTATTGATTATTATCGATTAACAAAATCGATAACAATTGATAGGAATTGATAGTAATTTATAAAAAAATAATTATCGATTTCTATCGGAAAAGTCACTGATAATAACCGAAGTCACAACTTTTTTCTTGATTGATTTCTATCGATCAATATCAGAAATCGATATTCATTGATGAGTGATATAGAATATCGGTTTATCGATTTATCGATTAACTACGTCTACGTCTAAATGTTAAAGAGAAGGACTGGTATCTATTTTGTCTTGGAACTTAAAATTCATCGATCTCTGGGGTAAAACTGGGCCACAATTACGAGAAATAAGTTAACTACGAAATAATTAAGCTTAATGATGAAAAACGTGAATTAAACAGAAAGCATCTTTATGATCACAGTCAGTGATTAAAATCAATGAAAATAAATTCCTTGACACTGGAGGAAAAAAATCTACAAACTGGTGGACTGTGAAGTTCTAAAAGCACATAAAACCTGGAGTAACAGAAGTGACCACCAGATGAAGATCGTAACCCGGACGCGTACTTTTTAAAATTATTCTCCCTCACCAGTCAACAGGATTATGCTTGTGTTGCAGAAGGTAAGGTGATTTCGAGTGCTGGAGGCGGTTGGTATGCTTTGGTTTCTCGCCTTCCCCACTTTCGCTCGCCGATGCCATGATGCGAAAGAGAATCAACGAGTACTTTTGGAAATTAACAGATAGAGCTGTTTTTCTTGCTGTATTGGCTCCGTAACTTAACACAGCTGATGTGGAGAAAAAACGGCAAAACATATACATGAGTGAGGAAGAAATGAGGACGCTCGAATGCACCCAGGGAGTGAAACTGAGAAGGCCTGGGCATAGCCTCGGTTTCGTTTGTTGCGTTTCTCCGCTGAGGCTGTTTGTAGGCGCCAATGTCAGCCAGATTTTTCTTTAAGGAAGGGGGAAGCTATACACAGGCTACCGGAGCTTCATGGGTCTCAAGATCTTCCTCTATTCATACTACAGCGCCTATTTTCGCTGCAAAAAAAGAACTATAAAATGAGTCTAGGAAACCCGTAATAAAGGCTTAGTTGATCACGCCACGCGTATTAATTAAGGTCATCCGGGATCCTGGGCTCTGGAATCCGTAATCCAGCTCAAGGAATCTGGAATCCCGCTTACGATTGAAATCCGGAATCCCTGATCCCCTGACAAGGGATCCGGAATCCATAGTGTTGAATCTAGCCTGCGTAGCAGGCAGCTGGAAGTACGAGAAAAGAACGAGGCGCGCGACGGAGACACGCGTATTTCCCTCGTTTCAGAAACCAAGACTGTCTTGGAATACATGGGACAATTGATCGCTCTGCTTCTGGGTTTAATAAGGGTGACTTCAGACCTCTTTAAAATAATGGCCCATTTATAGTTACACGTTGCTAGGATACCCCAATTGCCATGCAAGCCGCAGTTAGTGAAATTTGACTTCCGATTTTTGGATGGCCAGCAGTCAACTACCTGTTATGATGTTAAAATCGCTTCTTTTAATGTAATCGAAAATATAACTGATTAACATATTGTAAAACAAGTCAGAGATTGATTGCATGCTAGTTAGAATGTAACGTGCAACCATGTACTTCTAAGGAGCTAAATACTTGGTTAAATTCTCTCAACAACACTCAAGTCATATTTTTTACAATCAGCACACATCGTATGCAAGATCACACTGAATGCATAAACAGTGTAACAATCGCTAAGCAATTACAAAATTTTTCAGTAAAAAAAAAAACCACAACGTAAATTAACGAACAAATTGCACGAATATTATACCTTTTAAACTGTAACGTTGCATATAAATAATTCGTTGCTTAAAATCTTAGCAATGGTCCAGCCAAATTGCTATTAAAGTACGATAAGGTGGAGATACAGACATCTCTGCTACGAAACCTAGCCTCGGTTGTTAAAAAGTTGGTTAGCGCTATCCAGCGGATAAGTAGTGCGAAAATCAATTGTGTTATCCGAGGGGCGGAACTAGGATTTTTTTTAGGAGGGGGTGCACTCGTCTCTTGCTCTACTTCAACACCAATAAACCACATAGTTTTTTTTTTTTGCAGAATACCAGTATTATTAGAAAACCGCAGGTCATCTCGGGGGGGGGGGGGGTGCGCACCCCCTGCACCCTTCCCCTAAATCCGCCCTTGTATCCACTGAATAGTGATTTATCCGGTGGATAGCACTATCCACCTTTTGAACAACTGGAACCTGTTCTACATGCTCTTCCACACCAAGTGTCCTTATGAATTTCCCTAAACATATAATCAACCACAGGGAAAAGGTTTTCTCTACAAAGAATCCCTCTCTCTTCCGCAAAGGCCCTCAGGAGGCTGGGGAGAGGCAGGAAAAATGAAAGCGCCCGGGGGACGATGGGAAAGGGGAAAGAGAGGAAGCTCCCGCCTTTTCTCTCTTCCCATCGTCCACCGCGCGCTTACAGTTTTTAACTATTACTATTTTATAGTAAGTCCCTGCGGAGGAGAAAGGAGGCATCCATTAAAGATGACGCTCACAAAAGAGCACTTTCTATTATACAAAATTACTTCAAATGTTTTAAGTACAAACATCTGTCAGGTGCTTGGTACTGGATTCAACTTTACCAGTTGCTTCGTCTTTCGATGAAAATAAACGTTATCTTTGCACTGAAACGAGTTTATACGTGCGGGTATTTTAAATCAACAACGTATGGGTTAAGAGCATTGTCTTTATACACCACTGAACTAATAACGTATGAGTTTGTGGCATTTTCTTTATACAGTACTAAACCGCCGGTAGGTTACTTATAGCTAATCTAATTTCATCTCTTCATTTTTTTCCTTTCCTGTTAGCAGCGGCCTTTTTAGTTGCAGGCCTCGACTCATCTTCGTCGTCATCATCGTCGTCGTCGTCGTCGTCGTCATCATCATCGTCATCATCGTCGTCGTCATCATCGTCATCATCATCATCATCGTCATCATCATCATCACCATCATCGTCTTCACTGTCTTCCGCCTTTTTAGCAGGCAAGGGTTTGCTAGTAGAAGCCTTAGGCGCAGGCGATTCTTCCTCTTCCCTTTCTCTTCTTTCCTTATTTTCCAGCAGCCGATACCACGCTTGTTTCACGTTGTGCATACGCCAAGCCTGATAGATTCCCCATCTGTTAATTTTCAGCAGAGCGACTCGCATTCTTCCAAGGCCGTTCACTTCTATTGCTTTGAAAACGTTTGAATCTCGACCGTACTTGACGAACACGTGTCGAGAGTCTTGTAGGTAAAACTTGATAATTCCATTGATATCCTCCTCAATAAAATCGACGGCGTCACTCCGCTGAAAACAAATTCAAATAAAAGAGTGATATACTTGTCATTATGTTTTATAGCCTGTCCCTAGGACATGCCTAAATTTAAAGATCTCCAAATAAAGACGTAACACAAGGAACAGCTGAATAGACTGAAAATGACTATTGCATTCTTTGCGTGCATCTCACAACTGAACCCCGGCCGACACTTTCCTGTTTTGTTTTGTTTTTTTTTTTTACTTTGCACATTGTGGTTCAAATTAATGGCCTAAAGCAGTTCTTTTATGAGGTTTCAGTCAGTCTCAACAGTGAAAAATATCGGTTGCAAGATGACAGCAAACAATTACAATCAAAATTACGTTTCAGGCTCTCAAATAATGGAAAACGCAGGCGCCCAACAAATTTCGCAATTTGCGTGAAGAGTTTGGTCTTAGAGCCTGTATACATGAAGGTGGGGAACTCCAGGTAGGTGAGGTAACAAGGGGCGGGTTACCCCACCTAACATGTAAACGTGATCACATTAAAATGAGAGATTATATAGACAGGGGGGTTACCCTACCCCACCTCCATGTAAACAGGCCCTAATTGTGCTCAAAGTTGTTGAAGCCCGGTGTCCGCATAATCAAACAATCTACCCACTATTGAGAGAACCCAAAACGGTTTCAAGAGAGCAACGAGAAGGGGCGGGGGAGAGAGAACAGGAAGGAGAGATGAAATCGAAGGAATACAATATATCTCTGCACGTATTCCTAGCCTTCCTTCACACTGATATCTCCCTCTTCCTGGCAATCTCACATGTAAATACTCTGAAAAGTTGATTCTCTAGTAAAACAGCATGTCACTGATTTTCTAATAAACCGCTTGATACAAGGTTGTTACAAGTCAAGGAAATGATATAAAAGCGTTACAGTACACAAAGAAGGGGTCGCCGACCGCATTTCTATAGGGAGCTTGAGCAACGACCACGGCAACGGCAAATTCGCGCTGTTTTAAACTTCATCGCTCTTACTGCAACTCTTTTAACTTAATTTTTCAGGAGTTTCAATTCTAAAGGACTGTATCTAAGTTCACAAAAATAAAGAGAAAATCGTTGTCAAGTGTTCCCGTCCCCCATAAAACGTGAAACTAGGACGTTTCACGTCGTAGTCGTGCAGTGACGGCGAAGAAATGTACAAAAAAGCGTGATGCACGTGCAAAGTTGTTGTTTTGCCAATCTAAACCTATTGCTTTTTTGCCGTTCTCGTTGCCGTCGCCGTCGTCGTCGTTGCTTAAGCTCCCTTACGACACCACGTGGCACGGCCGCCATCTTGTTATACGGAGTGACATGCGCAGTGCACAACTAGGAATCAACTTTTTCATAGAGAACACCAATATTACTTAGAGTTTACCTGCTGAAACCTGTTTTAAAGCAGACAGTTTATTTATTCTTTAAGGACTAAGCACTTTACTTTATGTTAAGATTTGTAATTTTACCTTCTTTCAATTTAAGAATGGAAGAATTGAAAATAAAAAGAACCAAATTTTAACGCTAATTAAATACAAGTTAACGTTTAATGTTAAAGCAAGTTAGCAACGGTCCGATCACTGTGAAAGGAAAAAACAAATTTTACAAAATATATTAAACATCAATGTAAGTTATAAATTACATAAAATCTCAAAGTATGGACAGCGCCATTCCTATAAACACATTTTAAATTCATTACGTTTTGGTTGTTTTGTTCGCTTGTTTGGAGGTTTCTAACCTTTATAGCTAGTTTACAAACGTTACTTCCTCAAGTACACGCTTAAGTTTGCTTATCTCTCACTTTATACCTATTCCGCAACTTAAAGCGTACTTTATATGTAATTTGTACCTTTAAAAATTCACAGTAGTTAGAGCTATGTGGTCTTTACAGCAAGGAAACTGTTGCACTTAAAGCAACTAACTGAATGAACAATTCAACTTTTAAATTTACAACTTTTATGATGACCACTTGACAAACTTTTCTGTAAAAATTAGTCACCATCGTTGACTAGATAAAATGTGGAATGTTGCGCCACAACTGAGCATGACCGTGCAGAACTTTACAACTTTGCCTTCCTGGTTAAAGGTTCAAAAGGCCCGTGAAAGTACCGAGGTTTACTGAAGCAACATTGCATTCACTTAGCTAGCACTTAAATTAATCGTTGAAAAAACAGGCAAATTCACTTGTTAGGACTGAAAGAGATTGTCCTTATTGGCTAAGTATTAACTAGTCAAGAACACAATGATGTAACAATTTTTTACATTAAGGATTTTCGGAATCTTTTTTCACTTATTTAAACATGTCCTTTTAAGCACAGATTTGTAATTTAATCAGCGCCCTAACCTTAGTGTAGAAATCCTACCTGTCGTTATCTTTCTCTTATTCATCACAGAATCATAGTTTATTCCGCTTAGGTTTTTCATTCATCTGCGAGGAACACATTCACTTTCATGTAGCTCATTCCCTTGGCTATTATTTGGAGCCGAGACTCAGGAAATTTATTTGATCGATTGAGTTATCTCATTTACAGATCCAAAAAAGTGTTAATTTTCACAAAGTTAGACCAGGTGATATATCAGCGAGCTTGTTACTGAAACAAGTTGTATTATTTTACCTCAGATGTTATAGGATAACTAGGTTCTTGGTTTGTTTGGAAGAAATCGAAAGAGTTATCGTTTAGTAAATACAGGTATCTTTAACGTTCAGTGATCTTTCTCGGTATCTTTTTATTTTTTCTGTTAACAGGAAATAAGCGCTTTATGAGTTTTTAAAAAAGATTGCCCTAAAACTTAATTCTCAATATTTCATGACAATCGTTATATTTTGTTTGCCTTAAAGTTCCAGAAATAGGGTTTTAGTTTTCTATACTAGGCAGGAAAGTTTACAAGGACTCAAGAACACATTTGTCAAACTTTGGACATCACGTTGTTCATCAGAGAACAAGTGAATGCTGACAATAACGAAAATAACAACAACACAACTGCATAGTCAAACATGACACTACCACACACGGTTTGAGCAACAAACAACATACTGGACTTTATCCGGTCTAACTGCTCCCTCAGTTCTGTAATAGAGTCGCCTCGCTGTTCAGTGTGGTAGAAACAATGCATCAGTATACTACGCACTTCAAAACAAATTACTATGTAATGATGGACAGCCGTCGGAGCTCGAGAAAGTGGCTCTTACAACCAAAATTAGACTGAAGTTATAAGAGAAATCTACAGTTACATTTTGCACCATCAGCCTAACTCTAACATTGCAATAAACTACAGGGTGTATTGACCAACAAATGGATTCTTCAAACTGAAATAGAGTGAGCCAAAATGTCACAGTTAGTAACCTGTGCCTTGAAAAAGCGCTTTCCAAAGCAACGTGTTGTTAGCAATTCAAGATCGATACAATAACTACACAACCAGCGGAAAGAGAAACTGTTTCGTCGTTAAGCCTGTTTTCCGTATAATCACCCAACTCCACTCAAAACGTGTTCAGACGATCGAGACATTCTTATAAAGACATCTCTGACGCCAGACGACCCAGACGACTAGGTTTGTAAAAGATTGTCTCGATCACCCGAGTCCTCCCAAAAAATGCTCTGACGATTGAGACGATCTTCTGGAATTAACTGATTTCTGATAAGATGCATTACGTTCCAGACAACTGGGTGGATCGCAATCGCCTGAATAGAACTGAAGTCTGTTTACTGACTGGTTGGAAAATAATCGTCCCGATCCTCTTGATCATCACAATCGTCCCAGCAATCGAGGGGATTCGAACGATTTTATGGAAGCCACGCTTGTGCTCCACGGGTCTTAAATGAAAGGTTTTTGGTCACTAAGTTCGCATAGGTCCTCTTTTTGCTCAAAATACTCCAAAATTCCAAAGACAATGTCATTAAACAGTCAATGACTCAAAATGAAAACTACAACATGGCGGACATGGGTGACCGTCACATGAGGGGATTAAAGAAAACTCTACCAAAGAAGTTTTTATAAATAAGTAGATATACTGATAGACAATAAATAAATAAATAAATATAATAATAATAATAACATCAATGATGCCCAAAGAAGGATACCATCAGGACGGCCGAGCTACAAAAGAACCAAATTAGTTACAGAAAGTTTAGTTTAATATGGCAGCTTACCGTCTGTGCCTCTGACAGTATTTTCTGCGTCAAAACCGTCCGTAACGTCTCCACAGTATTTTCCAGCTTAGCTACTTGGGAAGAAGTCTGTAATTGAAAAATTCATCAATGAAACTTATGATAGTATAAATAAAAGCCGCTAAAAATGGCTGCTTGGATAGTCCTGTTTTCGTTACAAACTAGCGTGAAAGCAAACAACATAGTGGAATATATGAAGACACTTTGTGATAACTTACTTGCTGTACATCCTCCTCAAGTTTCTGCACCTTGTTTCGCAGGTCTCCTGTGTCCTCCTCTTGTTTAGCTTCTTCAGGTTCACGCTCGGGTTCAGGTTGGGGTTCCTGTGCCGGCGGTGTGGGCTGACGTCTGAAGATAAACCAGGCAGAATTTATCCATTCATGTTTTAAGGAAGATTAGCCCAAAAATATCCAAACCATAACTCTTAACCCCCTTAAAAATTATACTTACTCTTCTGCTTTTCTTCTTTCGGCCTCCTCCTTTGCTTCGAGCTCAGCTTTTAGTGCCGCAAGTTGGCTCCGGAGTTCAGCAATCTACAATGCCAGAAAATGATAAACAACAATTTCAGCAGAAATGCAAAGAAAGAAGGAAAATTTGATCCACGGCGTCGCAATGCATGATTTCTCCTAAAGCACGCTAATGACGTACGGTAGGGCGTGTGCATCAAGGCAATACAATAAACTTGGTCAACTTGCTTTGACCAGACACAGCAAACACATTACGCTGACGAGACAGAGACATATGTCAGGCTAAGTCACCATTAAGTCAGCCTATCGAAGTTTAATTACGCGGCTTTAACGAAAATTGTGAAAGACAGGCGCGGGAATACGGTGCATACTACATTTGATTGTATTCCGGAATAAGAATACGGAAAAGTTTTGTCACAAATCTCTTGAACTATGATTTTTGGAACACTTAAAAGCTAAAGACATCTGAATATTTTATTTCAAGCAGATTTCTACAACGCAATGAATGCCAAAACAGCACTACAACAACGCTATTACATTGGTACGACAATCCGCATGTAATAAGGTAGTTTTTATTCATCTGGAAAAAGGCAGTCTTTGGTGTTAACTTTAGCTAGACGTCATGTCCGACGGCACTTAAGATTTCGTTGGACAAGGACCATTGTCCGATGAACGACTGTTTAATATTAGAGATCTTTTGATTCGAAGACGTGGAGGACGAGATTTGACTTGAAGTTTTTTCGAGGATTGTCATAATACAGACACGAACAAGCAAAGATTCATGCAACTTTTTTTTCCACCAGAAAAGTTAACACAGTTATTTTTATTGATTGAAGTAAAGCCTTATCACCATCCCAAAAGGATAAAACTACGAACATCTGATAACTTGTGTCTGTTTCTAAGACAATCTCAATCTCGCTAAAACTCGTAGTAGAATGACGACGGCTACCACGGCTTTCCTGCATGACGCACGCTCACGCACGCGCACTACTCATTATTGAGAAAATCTCTCTCTCATAGTCATCTTCGTCTTAGAATCTAAACGTCTGAATTTTCATCTCTAATAAACATATCACAAACCTCATCTGGCAAAGGTCTTAGTTTATCTTCAACATCTCTAAACTGTTGGTCAGTATCCTCTTTCCAACCAGCTACCTCCCCTAACCTTCTGTTTCTCTCTTCCTGGTCAGAATTTCCGAGCTGTAGAGAAGTACAGCGAACAATTATTTAACAGTTATTGTTTACAATACAACGGAACGTTAAGCAACAGCGACAGTGAAGTAGACCGTGTCAAATGGAAACTAACCAAAACCAAAAATTCGCGATATTTTCTTTTATTCCCATTCGCACTGTTTTTGAAATGGAGGATGAATATTCCTGGGAACCGCACACTACTCTAGCAAACGGTTCTTCGGACCGAACGACATTACCTCAATTCAAACTTTGATTTCAAGAGGAGGTTACCCCAGAATACAGTACACCGCTGAAAGGGTGATATTTAACTGAGCTAAAGTCACCCCTTCCTTACCCATTTTTTTCGTAGGAAACGCGACTAGAGTTACTGTTTACTACTTACTACTTTCCTGGTGAGTAAAAAGACGTTAATTTCTAGTGATGTTTTAAGCTTACGTTGCGTGTGTTTTGTTCTAGACACACAAAAACACCTTTACACGGTGACTTCGTTCCACATACTTGTGTAGACCCATTTTTGTAGAAGTATAACTGCGAAGGGTTAAGGTATTGTGCTGTTTAACTTTTAACACATGCATTTTTGTGACTTTATTCTTTAGATGCAGTGTGTAAATGGTCAAATTAATCACATGGGGTACTTGGTGGTCATTATCAGTGAATTGTTGATTGAGATGAGATTTTACCTCTTGTGTTCGGCCAGCATGAGTAATCTGTATATCACAATCGACACAAAAAGGCTTAAAGTTAGTCATGTTATAAAATAAGTAAAACTTAGAGGGTATTCAATTGATTAATGATTATTTTAAGTTGAATTTGCCTCTAATAATTTCTGCATTTATCAATGCCAATTTTGTTAATTCTCGACTGGAATTGTACTGTTAATAGTTAAAATTTGTTTATCTATTTATTTCCTATCACAGAGTGAATGCGTGAATTCGAAAAAAAAAAAAACAATTTAAGTGAGCCACTATCAGTTTTCAGTTGCATTGTTCGTTTCTGAAATCCTATCAAAGACACAATTTGTATATTTTAAGAACTAAATGTTTTAAAGCATTTTTAAAGTTTTACTTTTTATCACAAGAAGAAGGACATCTATTTCTTTTCTCTTCTAAGAGCATAAAAAATGGGTATTCCAGGTGGGGAGAAACTGCTCATGACCAGTTTTCACGGGCTTATACAACTTCGTAATGGGTTTTAGTTTCAGTTTCAGTTTATTTATTTGCCAGAAAAAAAAACACATATACATACAGACATTCAATATATTACAAAAATGTTATTTAAAGATTAAAGAGACGTGAATTATAAGTAAAAGAATTAAAAGTATTTTTCTGGCGACGAAGCTCAAATAGAAACCTTAAGGCTTATTGAATGAGCTCCTGGGGCTTATTGAATGAGGGCTCCTAAACAAGGGGGTGGGGCGGGGGGGAGGTTAAAACGGGAATAAAAAAGGGTTTCAAAACAAGCTACATAGCAGTACTAATCAAAATACTTTTTGAATTTATTAGCTTTTTTAACCTTCAAAACGTCGTAAAAAGTCGAGAGCTCTAAGCAACAACGACGGTGTCGGCTACAAAAACGTTACTTAAAAAAGTGAATTCGCGGTGCTTGAAACTTAATCACGCTTATTCCATCTCGCGTTTAATTCGTCAAATGTTTTTGGAGTTGAATTCTAAAACTAAAGACTGTTTCAAAGTTCAGGAGAAGAAAAAGAAAGTTGATGTCTTGTATTCCCGTCCTCGACAAAACGTGAAATAAGGCACTTTCACGTTGCAGTCGTGCAACAGCAGCTCAGAAATGTAGAAAAATGCGTGATGCACGTGCAAAGTTGTTGTTTTGCTAATATAAACCTAATGCTTTTTTTTGCCGTTCTCGTGGCCGTCGCCGTCATCGTTGCTTTAGCTCCCTTCCATATTTAAGGAAAACTTTGTTTTTTACAAAGCTGATCAACCACCAACTAGCCGCGAATTTGGCCATTTTGTTTTCGATTTTCTGCACAGCTTATAAGACTCCATACCTTTTCCAGTTTTCTCATGGCTTCCTCCAAATCTGCTACTCTCTTATTCAGCTTCTTTAGCCTCGTATCAACATCAGCCAGTCCTTTGACCCCCGAGTTGTTGTTTTTGTCCATCAACGACTTCAGCTCCTCTTTTGTCTTAAATCCAAACAGAACACAAGATATTCTTTATAGCACTCGATCTAGAGTAATGGCCAGATAACATGTATTGAAGAATACCTTCTCAAAAAGGAAAGCGAAGTTCACTATTAAGCCAAACATTAATTTAAAAAAAAACATGTACATGAAGTTTAAGGCTCTGACCACCGTCCACATATATCTGGTGAAAACGGTCATCGTAAACACATCTTTTCAAAAATGCACTCCAGAATGGAAATTTTTAAAAACGCCGGCTTTTCGTTTACGTGTAGATGGACTAAGAGCCTGTTTACATGGAGGTGGGGGACCCCAGGAAGGTGAGGTAACCCGCCTGTCCACATAATCTCTCATTTTAATTTGATCCCGTTTACATGATAGGTGGGGAGACCCGCCACGGGTTACCTCACCTACCTGGGGTCTCCCACCTACATGTAAACAGACCCTAAAACGGAGGTCTTCGAATATGATGATGTCATGCATCATATATGGCAAGCATTAGGCATCTTTGTGAGAGATGTTATCGTATTTCCATCGTTTTAGCGTTTTCCTGTGGACGAGCGAAAAAATATTCCAATACGCTACGCAAGGACGCGAATTTTTTGTCAAACGGAAGAAAAAAATCTCCGTTTTCAAAAAAACCCGGATACTTTTGGACGGGGCCTAGAGGTGACGCTACACGAGACGATTCGCAACGACGATTTTTAGCGCAACACAGCGTTGCAACATTGTTGCGACGTTGTTTTGAATTGTTACAACATTGTTCCAAGTTCCGCTAAAAATCGTCGTTGCCAATCGTCCCGTGTAACATCACCTTAAATGTGAGACTATAACCAAGTATCCACCACCTCTGCATGCCCCACCCCTTCAATCAATTACCTTTTCCACAGTCTCAGCGACCTGTGAGTTGATTCCCGCCAGCGCTTGTTGCAATGTACTGATCGCCATGTTGAGTTTTTCCTGCAGCTGGTTGCATCTGTTGGACAGTTTATCACTTTGGGACTGCCTAGATATAAGGTGATAGGAAACGCAAAATAATGAGATAATAAACAGATTTAGCCATGGCTAAAAGCGAAGCTCTCCTTTATATAGTTACTAATAATTTACTTAAACAAAAAATAAACTTGAAACCACTGCTAAGAAATCTGTCAAATCTGAGCTTAATATTGGCTCGATCACAAACATGCACGTAAACTGGACCATTCTAGCATAAAAAATGTCAAGTGTTTGAAATGTTATCGCACATCTGGGTAGTGCTTGTGATTGGTTGAAGCAAATTTCCCACGCGGCACGACCAATCAGAGGCACTATCCAGATCTGGCTAATGACGCGTCATCAGTATGGAATTTCTGGGCTTGTTGCTCAGACGTCATTTCGCGGGGAAACCAGTGGTAGCGTCGCCAAATGTCGGCTGTTTAATCGGGCAAGGAAATGATATTATATTTACCTTGATGTGATCTCGGCATGTAACACCTTTTCAATCCCCTTTCTTCCTTCCTCCATTTGTCTTTCCAATAAAGATATGGACTCATTCAGACGTGCAAAGCTCTGGTCAGTTCTCGCTTGGGCCAACTGAAAGAAGAGATTGCCCAGTTACAGAGACAGACTGCAACACCCGTTTTATCATGTCAATAATATCCTATTTCCATTTTCAGCTTAACATAAAGCTGTAGCTAAAAGGGGGCTATGCCACGAGGATACTGCCGTTTTAAGTAAATTCTGTGCGGAAGTCATTACTTAGTAAGTCTTAGTGCATTCATCAATACACAAAATGCTCCTGTATATCATGATATCAGGGGCACCCAACGACGGTTTCCTCCTAAATGCATTGAAAACACTTTTTAGACTATCCAGATCAGAGTAATTTAGATCTCTAGAAATGTATTCTAGGTGGCGATTTAAAAAAATTTTTTTCTGTTCGGTCATCCTAGGGCAACTTGAGTCTTGAGTCTCACAAGGGCTTCAGCATTATTGTCCTGAAAATTTTAGCTGCAATTTAAAGTTTTATGAAGGTGACAATTTTTCTGATTCCTCTCTGCATCGCATTTTGGGTTCCGAAAATTTTAGGTTTCCTTTCACCAAGAAAAATAGCTTAACCTGGGGAGTGACAGGGGATAAATTAAACTTGAGAAAATCGTAAGGAATTTATTAGATAAGCTTCGAAAATTGTACATGAATGGAACGGTCATCTAGAAATTTTTATCCTTCCTCAAGCTATAGAAAATTCTAGGCAGTTTTTGCTTCTCCGAACAGATATTTGACAGAAAACAGTCATTGGGTACCCCTGTGTATATTTAAGAAGAAGACATAAAACAAATTTTATTGGGAAGCACTGACCATAACAATATTTTGGTGACTTTTTGAGGCATGACATTGAAACTTGAAAAAGTTGGCCCAATTTTTTCAAGTTTCAAACTTTGTCCATCCACGCCATCTGTAGCGACAGATGACATAAAATAATTCCAGTACCTAAATATGGCCTTAAATAATAAATCTGGGCTCATGCAAAGACACGTGTTAGCTTTTTATAAAGATAGCAAATAGCATGACATATATATCCCCTTTAAAAACGAAACATTGTAGATCACCTGTTCTGAATGTCGCAAGGTTTGTGCCTCATCATCAGTATAACCTTTCAGTGACTGCCAGCGTCTCTCCATCTCCTCTCTTATTGATCTTTCAAACACCAGTCTTGCGGCCTGTTCCTCCCGTAATTTCTGACAACAACAAAAAGAGATTGATTGAACTGTTGAATAATTTATTAAGACAATTATTCATTAAGAGCCAACAAATGAAATCACTACTGACCCCAAAAATTATCGACAGAAGTTGGTTGACTGTCCCGGGGGAGGTACTCCCTATTAAACGGCCTATACAGGGTGGCTCCGCAACCGAAAAGGGAATGGGTTAATACTGTTTTCAGGCTTCAGGTATAATATCAAAGAGTACGGAATTCACAAGTTGAAGTACATGAAAGAAGGTAGGAAATCTATCATTTAAGTATTTAGGTATGTTGGACGGGTCCAGTTTTTCAATGCAAGGTGGACAAAAGGGGCACCTTTCTAAAATGCTATGTAAAAGGCGTATCAATTTAGGTTCCTGGGAAACTGCTCACCTACCCCTCCCCTTGGCTAACATTAACACTCACTTCTCGCCTAGGACAAAATGATGGCTTAGGGGAGGGGTGGGTCAGCAGTTTTCCAAAAACCTAAATTGATCCTAAAAGGGTAAGGGGTTGGACCTCGGGGAGGAGCCTCTTGTCTTTGTTGAGTAGCCCCACCCCTCCCCCCTAGGGATGACTGATACTTATAATTATAAAAATAGTTGAGCTATTTAATTTGATTTGAGTTGTAACTACCACTCTTTTATCCTCCTCTGCATGATCATGGGAAGTTTTGAGCGGGGGAAAGTCAAAGTTCAAATTTTCTAAAAAAAACCCAAAGCCTATAGCTACATGTAAAAGAGAACTAATTCCCCTCCATGGGGAACACTAGGGTGTGGCCTGAATACGGGAACTTTATGACACATTTGTCACTTTCGCAAATTCTGGGACTGTTACGTACTAGCTAGGGACAGGGAAAAAATTGGCTAAACACTAACAAGTGCTGCATTCCCAGTAATGATCCCAGAAACAATTGCGGGACACATTTTGGCTTCATGCAGTGCCCTTCTTCTTTGTGAGGAATTGTAGAGAACATTGGTTTACAGACCTTTTCTAACAGTACAAACTTGGATTGAGCATCTTCTCTGAGTCTAATCTCTTTTTGCAGCATCTTTTTGCTTTGCTCTTCAGAAAGTTCTGCAAGTTTACTGGCAATCATGGTTCGTTCATTCTCAAGTAGGTTTTCTCTCTCCTTTGAATTCATAGCACTTGCATACATTTCTTCCTCCCGCTTATTGTTGCTTTCTTGCACAAAAGCTCTTAGCTGCTCAAGACTGAAACAAAACAACAATTATCATCAGTCATTAGGTGAGTTCAAGAAACACCAATCTACACTGACTTTGAAAAGGAGCATGTGGTCCATGAAGTCTTAAATTCTAGAAAACACCTGGTCCTGGGAAAGACTATCTACTGCATAAATCACTTTCCAAAGGATAAGTATTAGAGAAACTAATAGCACTATCCTCTGAATTATAGAGATTTATCCGCTTGATACTGTTATCCACCTTCTGAATGACTCAGGGGCCAGATGGTTACGTCACTTCAATAACTATTGCGAAAAACATTTGAGCATTATTTTATATGCCTACTTGAGTTGGTTCTGTTGGTTAGCAACCCTTCTCTCATTTTCTTCTGTTTCAATTCGTCTCCTAAGTTCTGTGGTAATTTCCTTCATATCAGCCAACCTGTATGAGGTTGAAAGTCATAAATATATACAGAGTAATCAAAAAATAATATGTTGTGTATACTGTATTTATTTGGCTATAAGCAGAGCGATTTTTGAGCAAATTAAAGCTAAAGTTCAGTAAAATTTGAGCCCAAGAGGCGGTCTCGGCTTATAGCCAAAAGTTAAAAAAAGTTTTTCAGTACATTTGCAACTCTACTAAATGGGGATGTTTCTACTTGTAAGCCGAGCAAATAGCCCTGGCAAAGAGCGAATCGATCGCGGTTATTAACCATCCACAATTTGCCACACATTGTTAAAAATTTCAGTCGCATGGTATGTACAAAGCTATTAAAAGAAAAAACATAACACTGGAAGAACACACTCCAAAACACCCACTATAACTGTCTTACACACTACCCTTACCCTCATTCTACTCTGCTAATCATACCCACTGCTCTGGTTAGAGTGATGCTAACAAACCTGGTTTCAATGGCATTCTTGAACTGAAACGAGTTTGCTTCCTTTGTATCCTGGTCGTCACGGTGTTTATTTAATGAAGACAACTGGAAAACCATAATACCAATAATTATTTAACTGTATTTGGGTTGTTTTATTCCCAAGGAAGAAAGTAAGAATGTTTAATTACGGAGGACCATCGGGAGGCCAAGAATTGTATTAGATGTAAATGAGAAATAAAAGACATTTGACTTGAGCATCCACATACTTACCGCATTACTGGTATCGCCTTCCAGCTTTTTTATTCTTTGTCTAATTTCCTGTACCACAGTTCCAAACTGAACAGTTTGAACTTCATGTTTGCTTTTCATCGTTCTCACATCATCATTCACAGCTCTCATATTTTTCTGCAGTTGCTCATAATTTTCTCTTAAGTCCTCCACGTCATCTCTCATACGCTCAACATGCACAGTTATTTGTTCTCGTCGACTCAATAACTGCTGTTGGTTTCCCATTAAAGCTTGTTCTACTTGCTTTGTGTGGTTTACAAGTGAACCAACAGTATTGTGTTCTGATTCAATTTTTTCCTCAGCTCGGGATAACCGCATCATCATTTGGGTATATAAGTTATTTGCTGCTTGAATCTTTTCTGACAGTACAAGTCTTTCCTCTCGTTCTTCTCTCAAAGTGTCCTCGTTGCGTCGGATACTCCCTTTGAGTTCTCCTTGCAAGCGGACTAGTTCCTCTAAGAGGGCTTTGTTCGACTGCTCACCTATGTTCACTCGACCTTCAAGGTGTCTGAGACGCCCACCTTCGTGAGATGGACTGTTTCGCCGGAGAGACTTCTCTGTTGAATCTGTTATAGATGGCAATGAATAGCCTTGGGGAGCTCCAGTTGGCCTATTGATGACAAAAGAAAGATTAAATAATATTAAAAATTGTTTGAATATTAAATGCTCTTGGAAATAGCGACAAAATTATAATGCTCTGGCTTTGGTGACTCTTGTATACGTGTTCAAAACGGTTATAATGGACAGAAAGAGGGCCTCATTTCCTTATCAGCCAGGAAAACAAAAAAATCTGATTTGGGCAGGAGAGAAGGGTGACATATAGAGTGACAAAATGTTGGTAAAGGAATCCACAGTACGGGATGGTTCCCAAATAGCTAGTAGTGGATGGATCTTGTTAAGCTTACATTGGTTGCTTTCTGTATATTTTTTCGCAAGACACCGAAAAATACCACATAAGTTTGGTGAAAATTTAAATTATTGGTGTAAATCCACAGAACGTCTCTCCTGGGGCAAAATTTTCTGACAGTCTCCTTTTGTACACTAGTACACAAAAAGTCATGCTACATGCGGCAAAGAATGATTCAGTGAGACTGGGCTTAAATGCCACATTATCAACACAGTCGCAGATGCCAATTCCATTGCTAGGACAAAGTTGTAACTTCTAACATGTGTAGCATACCAATCTGCTATTAATGTTATCCTCTATGGATAGTTTAAAACGTTCAAAGAAATGAAGCTTAAGCTAGTTACAACGACGAGTACATGCATGTATAAGCTTTAAAATGAGGAGAATTGGATTAAAATCTCGAGATCTTTTTTATCCTCAAGCTGGGCTCATACTCGGAATAGTATTAATGCAAATCAATAATTCCAGTGGGACCTAAATTATTATAAGCTTAATGAAAAGAGTATGACTTCAGAGTGAAGGATATAAAGGTGAAAGTCGACTTGTCAGCCAGAAATTCAACGCACGAAGAGGTGGATCTTGCATCTACGAAATAAAACATACCTGAAATCCATCTTAAATAAAGTTTTCTCACTTTTTGTCCCTCTATTTAAAGAATCGAATAGAAATTTACGACACAAGAAGGCATAGAAACTCCTTCAGCATGATTTAGGTCCGTCTGATAGGCCGCCATATTTGTTTGCAATAAAAGGTGTTTTTTGATTGGCTCCTTACTTCGGTTGCCCTCGAGACGATGATTTGTTTGGCGGTGAAAAGGATACCCGGGAAAATCGTTTAATTTTCAAAAACTCCGTCGACTTTTTTCTCTTCCTTTTTTTTTACGTTTTTTAAGATGTAACTTTTATTGACTTCTACATTTATAATTACTTCATCTCAGTGTATACGTGACTATCATGTATAGTGAGATTATATTTATAATAAATATATTCCTTGTTTCTCTCAATTTATATTTCCCTTCCGCTTAAAAGCATCAAACAAAAATGGCACCTGTCAAATCATCATTTATTTAAAACTATCGCTATCCTTAATGCATCTTCTTATACATTACAATCCCCGAGAAAAGCTAAACAATCTGAAAAACTGCCCCCTCATACCGCGAGTAACACGAACGATAAATAAATTTAACAAATTTAAATACATTAAAAAAATTCACGAGTTGTTGGACTTCAAAGCGCACACTGCGAGTCTTAGTCTTTCCAAACCAAAGTGAATTAGAGTGGAAAGCATTGACGTTTTCATTTATGGAAACACGATATAATGTATCAAGGTGTTGCTGATCTGAAAGTTACCTAGCTTGACGATGAAACACGGTTTTTCCGTGCGCCTCTTAGAGAAACAGTGTATACTCTTTAGTTACGGGTGACTAGGGAGGAATTCTGCAAATCAACGTTTTATATATATGATGTTTTTGAGAAGAAAACTAATATTTGACCCATCAGCAATTACATTCGGAACATACTTTGAAGTTAACTAACAAGGAAAAAGTATTGCTGAGAACGTGTATACCCAAGATTTATAATTGTTCATTGGGTTGGAGTCTGACCGTTAATTGATACATTATTACCAACATTATACATTCAGTATTACCAACTTACTGGAACGTGAGATGTCGCGTGCCATTACACGCGCCTCTCACGCTCTTAGAACGGAAGGAAATTCTTCGCAATTTCGTCAATCGCGCGCAATGCTTAAACTCTTTGAAATATTCAAATTTGTGGATAAATCGGAGTGAAATGTTCAAAATAGGCCTGGCCTTCTTCAGTTGTACTGTGAAAAAAGTGAAAATGAAGTTTGTTGATATAGTATTGTATCATGAATTTAAAGAGAAAACTTTTATGTCAGCTACAAGAAGTTTACTTGAGCACCCATGTTATTAAAAATGACATAAACGGTAAAGAGAGTGAGACTTGCAAAATATAAGAAGAGTATGAGCAATATTTGTTAAAATTCTAAGTAGTCCTTCGGCCTAGTATCTGGTCATTTTGGATAGGAACAATATAACATCAGAAAAACTGCAGTAACGACACAAATATATCGCAGGCCATTCGCCTTTCTTCTTCTACATCCCCAATGTTGTCATCATTATATGCCCTACCCTACCCCACAACTAGCTGACTGATCTTAACGTGGAACTTTCCCCATACACGCTCAAACGGAAAACACCTTTAATAAAACAAAGGGATATCGTTTTTCGTCTGTTCAGTTTGTTGTTTTCCGTTTTATAGCAGTGTGGAAAGTAGAGTTGACCGCTTTGGTTTATTCAGCTATCATCGCGTTGCTAGTCCTTCAAAAAAATTGTGACTGATTTTGCAGAAAATCGTTGACCGCATAAGGCTTAATGTTGATGCAAATAAGAAACATTAAAAACGTTCTTCTGCAACGTTCCTTTCTCCCATTGTGTTCGTCCGGAAACAGAATCCGATTCTGAAAGCACAGTGTTTTTGACAGTAGTGAAAAATACTCCAGCAAAACACCATATACCCGCTATTCGCGGCACCTTCATGTACATACATAGTTAAACCTGTATCAGGCTTTTTGGCTAAACACTTTTTGTGTTCGATAATACCACGAACATGCTCGATGTGGAACCGAACTGATCGGGAAAACTAAAAATTCTTAAAAGTATATAAAATAAAAAACTGCCATATTGTATTTGTTTTATTAAATGTGAGATGCGTATGAGTTGAAAACACTCAATCAGTCTATGGCGATAAATAATTACCGAGTCTCAGACAAAATTAGTACTGACTGATGAATTGAAGGTTTCCGAAGCTCGAGTTTTTCTTTTATAGTTCTGAAGTGGGCATCTTGGAGACGACTAAGCTTTCAGCAAAATAACCTATTCCATTCTCACTCGACGGATTTTTTGTGAAACAAAGCTTTTTTCGCCTCAGTATATTTTAAGGAAGTTCGGGTCCGAAAAGTCATAACAATTCGCTCAGGCATAGAAAGCGATTGCTACCAGAGTGAATTCTAAGAAAATTTTACTATTTTAATAGTATTAAAATACTGTAACTATCGAATTTATTCAGCATCGAAGCAACTTAATTCCTCATCTTTTCATCCAGCTAAGAAAGAATACTTTTAATTTTAGCTAGGTCAACATTTCTCAATTTATTTTTATAGCCTTTTTTAAAAGTAGAATTCAATTATTGGTATTAATCCGCTAAACCTCCTCTAAGCTCAATTGAATGTTATTTTTTAAGATGAGATCACTTCGAATATAGACAGTTTAAGACGGGAAGCACAAAAAATTAAAGAAAAAAAAACTGGGATTCTGTCTCTAACCTTGGTGTCTTTCTTCGAGGTAAACAAAGAAATTATAAAGAAAGCGCGTACTCGCGGATAGCGTATTAGAACCTAGACAAAAAGAGACACATATAAACAAATACCTTTTCCGTGCATACGAAATTGAATTTGGTGCCCTGTTCCACGGAGGATTTGCCATCACGAAGAAAGCTTCATTCGTCTCGAAGCTCTTGAAGATTTCCCACTTTAAAATGAGATGAGACACTGGTGAATTACATCTTGTCGAAACTAAGCCTTTCACAAAGACTGTCAAATGACTAGGGTAAATTATACGTAGCCTCCTTTGGCTATGTAAATGTACAGGTGCCGGCGACACAATCCTAACTTGGCATTGCCATGGGAACAGTACACAGATGCGTCTTTTTGATCGATAGGTAAAACTGGAAGCGATTTGAATTGTATAAATTGAGCGAAGTTGAAATATTGATGTTTTATTGTGTTATAAAAACAATGCGTTGGGCTTTAGGTAACCCCGAAAAGTAAATAAGTTGGAATGTCTATTCAGTAATAGAAATTTTGCAGTCTAATTGTTTAAACGATGGAAAAGCCACGTTAAAAGTCAATCCTATGTTTTCCTTCGTCCAGTAAAATTAAGGTATCCAGATCTCGTAAGAGGAAGGAGCAAAGATGACTTTATTTTCGCAAACAGCCTGAAGTCGGGCCAAATATCAAAGGCATTGTTTATGTGTCACTATTATAGTGGAAGGACGGCGGCAAACGTGAATTGAATTTCAATACAATTAACGATGAGTTGGCTCCGACTCTAACAACCAATATTCATATTAGGGACATGTTGTAAAACGTGAATATGCTGTATAATACTACCGAGTGCAAGAGAGAGAACAAGCATGAAATATAAAAAATATATATATTAAATATAAAAAGATTATCTGAGTAATCGGCAACGATACGAACCGTATTGTTTAGTATCCATTTTCCAGTCTATTTTTAATTTTGCAAGCGAAATTGCTTCAGGTCTAAAATATTTATTTAGGGGTACCCTATTCGAGGTTCACATGAGCGTCTTTCAGGATTAAAACGGAACATTTTTTGTAAATGCAAAATTGAGCTTTTTCTCTTAAAAAATTACCTGATGTTTTGTATCGTATTTAACAGTCACCGTCGCTCATGAAATGTTTACACGTCTTACAGCCCCACTCGGCTGAGTGTTAATACACTCGAGTTCTAAGTATAAGAGTGTCTTGTCAATTTAAGAATGTCCTTTACTCGTTATTAACCAAACACGCTTCTTCATCAACATTCAAACGAAATAAGATACTTTTTCTATTCGTTTGGGAACTGATTTTTTAGTTTTAAAAGGCTTTCAAAACTTCATTAATTTCTCGCCAGAACTTGAGTGTTTTTAGACTCACCCGGAAATTGCTGTTTGTCAAAACTAATCGTGTACAATGTATCACGTGTGAAACTGTCTTTGTACATGGAATAATGCATGTATTTCCCTATATCTGACCTTTTAGAAGGTGAAGAAACTGCTTTTAACTGCTTTTTCTTGGGTTTTCCTCCAGTGGCCATCACTAGACAATATTTTTGGCCGCCATTAGAATTTTGCTTCTCAGGTTACATTGGATGAAGGCGATGACATAGGAGGCACACGTACTGTGCGTAAACTTGTATATTTGAAGCATAATTTGTTCAATAACAAGTTTGTTTTGAAATTTGCATAAAAATTGCCCAAGTAACGTAGTATCTTGTTAAATTTCAATTTTCCCTTGCGGGCAGCCAAGACCAGGCAAATGCGTGGAAATATATAGCCTCCCACCCGCTCTCACAAACCGGTTACAATAATTAACAGTTATTGGATGAGGCTGAGTGTTATCTGAAGAATTATGGAGATCGAGGAGGATAACACACTCCGAAATCTCCATAATTTTTCTGATGATACGAAAGCCGAATTCAATAACTGCTCGATGTCGAGTTCATTAGAAATATTTTGAATGAATAATAACCCATTAAAGAGCCATAAATTGGCTCAGGTACCACACAGGAAGAAGAAACCTGACTCCCACGTGAATTAATGAATGGCTCCTCAGTGATATCTGACTTTTGTCATTTTTCATTTTTTTCAGTTTCTTTATACTTTACTTATAACTGTGCCAGAATCAAAGGGAATACTTTTGGTGGTTACACTGCTGTTTTAAAACTTCACGTGATCAGCCATGCCAATGCTTTTGCAAAATTTAAGACGCAATTCATCAGGAAATTGAGTAATTTTAATTCTCAGTGGACAAAACCCTTGTACCAGAATATTTTAAGCCATATCGCACTATTTTTTACACTTTTCAAGGACAACAAATTTAATAAGTTATATGAAATAACTCCAAAAAAGAGGTCCTTAGTATAGGCAAAAAACAGAAAAACAGCCCTTACAGGTGTACTGTCGCAATTTGTAATAATCATCGCACTTTGTAATACCTGTCGCAATTTGTAATAAATCCATCGCACTTTGTAATACCTGTCGCAATTTGTAATAAAAAAGGTGTCTCAATTTGTAACAACTGTCCATCGCACTTTTTTTAGCAGACGTCATCATCTTTGTTTATGAAGTACCATGCATATTTTGGCATATGTATCAAAACATGTTTAAAAATAGGCGCCTTGTTGGCGCATGTGACTACTGCTGAAGAAGAAAAGGTATTAAAAGTATAATTGTTTTAAATAGGCTGTTCTTTGGATAGTAATGTATTGAAAACGGTGAATATCGAGCGATCATGGCAAGCTTTGTGAAGCTGTATGATGATTGAAATTTTGATTTTATTTACCTCGAATATAACAACTTGCTTAAACAAATAAAGTTGATGATGATGATGAGACGATGAAGGTAAGGTAAAGCGTGTCTGTCTGCTGAGCCTTGGCACAGGGATATGAAAAGATGTTGGCAGGCAGTCAAGAGGTTAATATGGACTTGGTTTGTTATAAAAAATAGGACTCAATGATTGGCAAATGAAAACTTTTTAAATTTAAAGATTTTAATAAACGTATGAAACATGAGTTATTACAAACAAGAATAGTAAACAGTAGTTTGCACGTCATTGTTTTAGAATTATGTTTAAGTGAACAATTTTAACATGTTTTTTTTTGTAAAACTGGTTTTTGTATCAATTTTCAGTGGTGACGTGACTAAACAGAACTTCAATCTTAGATGTAACTACATGTGTACATCCTAGAGTATGAACTGTTATGTTAACCAAAACGTGTTTATTTTTGTAGCAATTCTTAACTTACTATTATGTTAACCCAAACCCGTTTTTGGTTTTTGTAGCAATTCTCAGTACTAGCAAAACTTAACAGAACTGTAATGATAGATGTAACTAGATGTACATCCTAGATTATATACTACTGTGTTAACCAAACTGGTTTTGTAGCAATTCTCAGTACTAATAAAATTCAACGAAACAGAACTGCAATGATAGATGTAACTACATGTACATCCTAGAGTATATACTACTGTGTTAACCAAACTGGTTTTTGTAGCAATTCTCAGTACTAATAAAATTCAACGAAACAGAACTGCAATGATAGATGTAACTACGTGTACATCCTAGAGTATATACTTCTATGTTAACCAAAATGTGTTAATTACATGTTAGTTACTCCTTTTGGGCAATCTTGAGGACTACTTTGGTTGTTGTGTTGTATGTGAAGTTTACTGCTGGAAGATTTAATAAACTGTTTGTGAGAATGTCCCGAGTTAATGTTGGCTGGCTTTTTTGGTTTTGAATTGCCAGTATCTGCTTGATTGGCTCCTCAAACAATGTTAGTTCTAGGGACTTCTCATCAGAGAACTGTACCATTACCTGAGCATACCAGTGTTGAGATGCAGGTTTAAGTTTTTGCTTCATGTGACAATTTTTGCACTCCAAATATGCTGCTCCAGTAGATTGCTCTAGTTTCTTTTTACACTTAAAGCAAGAGAAGTACGAGTTGATGGAAACTATTCCCATTATTTCTCCTTCGACGGTTGTGGATACAAATTGTGTAGTGTCCTGAGTTAGTGGCACAGCTAGGATTTCAGTAAAATCTTCTGTGAGTCTGATTTCAGTGCCATATTTAGCAGTGTTTAAGTAAATGGTTTCATTGTATTTGTCCTTTCGTACAGTTACATTGTGGAAGATATATGTTCGGTTGTTTTCCACTTGGTTAATAAAATTCTCCCACAATACCATTTTCATTGAAGCTGTAGGGTCAAGCAGAATACAGTTCACAAGAGTTAAATCTCCTGCTTTTTGCTGTTTGGACATGTTGGTTAGTTTGGCCTTTACAGTTATATGCTGGCCAACTCGAACAGATTTGACTGACAAAAGGGTGGTTGAAGATTGTATTTGTGATCTTTGGAAGTCCAGTTCTGGATAGTGTTCGACTATGACATCATGTCCCATCAACAGATCACTGGTGTTTGCATTGGTGTCTACTTTGAACCTTTTAATTTTTATGGGGCTCTTCTTGTCCTGAAAGTCTGCAAAAATCTTGCGCTTACTTGGTGAGAAGCACACGGCTCGGGTAACTGATTCATCCCTCCCTTGCAACTGGCATTGAAAAAACTTTTCGTTATACACAGCAGAAACATTATGTATGTATCCCACAAATTCTTGACTTGAAGAAGGAGCACCAGTGCTGTGAGTAGCTGTTTGCTTTGAGAAATCATCCATGACTGAAAAAAAAAAAGAGAAGACTATTAATAAATAAAGGATTATTGCCTATAAAAATAAAGGACACAATATAAGCTAAACCAATCCTTTGAGTATATAATTACTGAAATATAGTGGATATTTACCTGATGATTACTGTTAGGGGAGAGGGAGGGTACAGGGATGAAGGAGTTATAGAAATTACTGAATCTTTGTAGTGATTATTATGATTATGTAGTCATCTTTTAGTATGGATTGTATTACATCTAGGTGTGGTTGTGTCCTTATCTGTATAACAGGCAAGAAAAGTTTGAATTGAAGTTATGTTTCTGTATTGACATAGTTTATTAACGCACATATTGTTTTGTGGTCTGAAAAATAAGTTTCTAACAAGTGTAACTTTGCCTGAGATTCTGGCAGGTTAGTATAAATGTGGTCTATAGCTGTTTTGCTGTCAGTGGTATACAAAGATACTAACTGTCTGTAGTTATTTTCTGTAATAAATAGATTATATAATGGAACTCTATCAGTTTGATTTAACCAGTTTACATTAAAATCTCCAAGGAAAATATTGTACTGTGTAGTTGTATGTAAAAGTACCTGTCTTAATGCAATACACAATTGTGTTACTGGCACTTTTGGGGATCGATACACACCAATAATGGTGAGATGAGGTAGATACATGCATTTAATGATAGTCAGCTCAACACCATTCCTATTTAAACAATAAGGAGAGCCAGGAATTAATTGGATTCTGCTGTATACTGCTGTACCTCCAAACGGTCTTGTAGTGTTATTAGAGTCACAGTCATTTCTAAACAAACTATATCCATCAATGGCATACATGCTATCATGATCTGAATGAGTAAATCTTGTTTCTGAAAAAATGCTTATGTCAGTGTTTGAGTAGTTGAGATCTTTACGTATATCATCTATATGTTTGTGTAATGACCTTGCATTAAGATAGCATATTTTTTAAAGAAAGTGGACTTTTACTATAAAGAGGAGATACTGACAGACTTAGACCTGAATTTCAGAACCGTCTCATTTCTGTTTGTACATCAGGACTGACAGCTATTTTCTTTTCACAAAGATTAGTTATATGTAATCCTTCTATGGTTTTAACTCTGCTAAGACCCACATAATGTATGTGAGGTATTGCCTTTTAGTATCAAAGTTAACAACTATTCTACTCTCAGTGTCACCTTGTGATCTGTGAATAGTTTTAGCAGCAGCAGGCCTCAGAGGGAATTGTTTCCTCACAACTTGAGCTGTTCTATTTCTTCCTACAGCAAATTGTGTAGTAATTGGTTTGATAGGTGTCCAAGTAGTTTCTATACCCTGTGCATACAAGTGCTTATTATCACATCTAGTTTTTCCCCTACATCAGCATGATCAAACTGTACCCATATTATACCAGATGGTTTGTTTTTCTGATGTAATTGTACTTTTTTAACAACATTTCCAGCACCATTTGTCATGCCATCTTCAGTTCTTATATTCATTGCTAATTCTGTTCTTTCACCTTCAGCTACATGAAGATTAGAGACAATTTGTTTTGTTTTCCTTGGGTCATCAGGTATCTGCTTCATTATTTTATCCCTAAGCTCTGAACAGCTTGCTCCTATTACACTATCTTGCGATTTAATAGAGTACTTTCTGCCTTTTGCTGCTTGGTGCACCTTTTCATTGAAATCATTTACCTTTTTGTTTTGTATAAAAGATGAGGAATATCCATTAGGAAGTTGAGGTCACTTTTTTTCATCAAACATTCTTTCTTTAAGTTTCAGAATGTCGTCAATTGTATGGATGCCTTCTCTTAATCTGTTCAAGATTTCAGCAAATAATTTGCTTTCTCTCTGTCTCATAATTTCATGTAGCTCGAACATTTTAAAATGTTTTTGCCATAGGTTTGGAGCAAGGATGCTGTATTCTGAGTTGTCTAAATCTTTAAATATATAGCCATCCATGACAGGCTGAAGTTGAAATAAATCACCAATAGCAATTATACTGATACCTCCAAAGTCATCCTTACTACCTTTTATATCTTTAAGTCTATTGTTGATTTGTACATTAAACATGGTATTTCCTACCATTGATATCTCATCTATGTATATCAGTTTCACACCTCCCAGCTGGCACCTGAGAGTATTTAGTCTACTAGAATCCAGTGGCTTATAGTCTTTCAAAGATTGACAGGCTGGTATTGCAAGAGCACTATGTATTGTGTTGCCTTTGATATTATAGGCTGCTTTACCAGTAGGAGCTAACATTAAAACCTTTACTTGATGAAAATCATCTCCAGCTTTGGTGTTATAGTATTTTAAAGCTGCTTGATACAAGGCTTTTGTAACATGTGATTTACCAACACCAGCTCCTCCACTGAGAAAACTATAGAATGGATCATTGGATGTTTTCATAAGATGTAAGCTATGGTAGAAGAATTCCTTTTGTTCTTTATTTAGTGTCTGGACCATATTACGGTATTCGTCATCTGGTATTTCATTTAATATAAGTCGTTCAGTGTTAGCTGCAGTAGATGGAATGCCTATGTCTTCTGAGAGGTCATAGCTCTCGGTGAAATCAGGGTGCAAATCTTGTGCACCTTCAGCCTCATCATGAAGTTCTATATCCTGAGTATTGGGTGCTATCAAATCATAATTATTGCCATTTTCTTCCATGCTACTTAATTTTTCTTCAATTTCATCTAAGTCTTGACTACAAACAGCATATAATTTCATTTGCTCCTCTATTTGTCCTTTTAATAGCAAGTAATTTTCTTGGTATGAAGAACAATTGCCAATCAAGTCAGTGTTTTCATTTCTCCATGATGTGAATAGCATGATTAATTCTCTATAATGTTTTTCAGGGTCTGCTATCTTATTAAAACCAACACTTCTAATAATTCTTGCTTTTGAACGCTTTTTATTCTTTTGACATTTAAATTTATTTTGGCAAGTTGCATTATGATCATCATCACCATTTTCATCATCATCATCATTTTGTTGTTCATCAATTGATGTTTCTAAAAGCAGATCATCAATATCTGTTTCAAATGACTTTTTATCATATGGCTTTCCTGGTAAGTCATACCACGCAGCCCAGTCAGCTAATGTTAAGTGTCCCAATTTTGCAGGACGTTTGGTATATCTATCCAGTAACCCACTGGCGTAGATTTCTTCAGAATCGTCTTCCATTTCTTTGATATCACTAAAACTTTTCAAAAGTTTAACTCTATCTTCTGGAGGTGAGGTATTGACAAACACTACCTGACGAGATGATTTCCTCATTGGTAATTGCAACACAATATATACGGCTTCTTGTGCACTGATTTCAACATTGTTTAGGAATTTATTGCCTATATCTCTGACTTGTTGCTTAATAGAAGCATTGCCTTTTCTGGCTTCATTACAAGCAACTCTCAAAATTTCACTGATGCCTTTTGCGCTTTTGAGATGTAAGAGGCGATATACATTGCACATGCATAAACATCAAGAACAAATTGAATGTCCATGTTTGCTCTCCATGCACTAAGGCAAGAACTGTTGTAATTATTTACCCGTAATTCATTTGGTTGTCGTTTTAAAAATATGGTAGGAGAGTTTAAGCTTGACCTGATAGCAAGGAGGTATGTTT